TTACATATAATCAGATTTTTTGATCGGGACTTTTTATGTAACATGTTTAATTCTTTACAAACCTGTCAAAGGAATTGACCGATAAGGGTCCAAGAGCGTATAATAAATAGTTTTCAACAAAATTGCTATGAAAATTTAGAAAATGGTTAAAGATTTCTACAAATAAAGATGATAAAAAGCATCCAATATTTCAAAATTTTATTACAAAATCTAATACACAAAGTTGCCCGACTTTTTGCTGGAGTTTTTACAGACCATCTGTAGTGTTACTGCGCACAAAATTTGCTCAACAGACAAGGAGACAGACAAATGAAAGAAATTAAATATAAACAACGGACACGTCAAAATTAAAACGCTCCAATCAATCGAACGATCATCATTGCATTCGTTCGTATCATTAAAATCAGATGCGGAATGTTGATCGTGTCGTTTTTTGCGTTAAGCACAAAAGAAAAACTAAAAGATTGCAATGTAATGCCAAATAAGGATTTGTCACGTGCGATTTGTTACTTTATATTCAGTAATCATACAATTGGCGGTATATGTAGAATCTTCTGGCATCAGATTCTTAAGACAGTAAAGCATCAACATCATTTGATCGTTTATAACTCATACGTACATAAATGAATAATAAGTTGGATGAGGGATGTGTTCAGAAGTTTAAAGGAATTGATAAAAATTTATAAAAAAAAAGCTTTTCGCTGTTGTTTTGCGGATATTAGTTTTGCAAAACTTTCGTTTCTTTCCTTCAAAGTCCTGCACGAGCATAATGGTCCATCCATCCAGTGAAGGCGTTAGTTAAATGCCGTTGCATCATTGATTTTCATTCAATGGCTGTTTGTGCCCCCCATTCAAGTGTATGCGGCATTTTTGCTTTAAATCATTTATCCTCCTAATATGGATTTCTATGTTTAGTTCGGCTATGAACCACAAACATCGCCATAAAACATACTACACGGGGACAAACACGCACATTCATTTGTCTGAATGCATGAATATAATCAAATCGTAATAAAACTACGCATATATACAGATACACAATCGCACACACGTCAAGGAATGTTCTCGTACCCGGTAGGCGCCGCTTTTTAACCATATTAAAATAGTGGACATTGTATAGTTCCAATATTAATGATCGACCAAGTCCAGCCATATGGCGAGCAAAAGAGACATAAACATTCATACATATTTATTTACTTGATACATGTGTAAAACACAAATCATTATTACGAATGCATGATTCCTTCCATTCCTCATTGGGATTTAATTTATCACTACATACTTAGTATTGTGCGTCTTCTATAGGAATCCTCATGAAAAACAATTCGTAAGTGAATACTAAAATAAAACAATTATTCGAGATGTAATGATGTTGCATTAATAAGAGTGGAGGGGTGGAACTTTAATTACACGTTTAGCACATTTATCGCAAATACAATGAAATGCTGATACAAGTATTTCTACACAAAAAGAAAAACAAATACATATGTACATTTTTTACTCGCTTTGATGTAGAGTGGGGTTTTAATAAACCTCAAATATTTTATCATTAATTTTATTGGTATTTTCATAAATAAACTTTACAATAAAATGAAATTGACTTCGATAGCACGTGGCATTTTAGTTTGATAAAAATGTTTCAAATGGTTGATAAAAATGGTGACATGTTATAATGTCCAATGTCATAACATTTATGGACGTTACGATACACCAACAAGTAAGAGTGCTATATTCGACTATGCCCACCATCAAAGCGTTTGTATCTACACAAACGCTTTGATGGTGTTTTGAAGTTAGTTTTGAAAGGTGGTCTAATATATGGGCTTAGGTCTGACGAGTTTTGCCCATTTTCAATAACAAACAAACCTTATCAGTAGACAATAGGACATGGCTAGATCGTCTTAGAATTTAATAAGGATCCAGAATATTTACATTTTTGTGGCTCTATGAACTATATATCGATGTGTTACAAATGGAATGATAAAATTAATATACCCCCCATAATGGTGGGTATTAAAAGGGTCTATGAATATTATGGTTTTGTAATTGGTTTTTGGGGACTGGGAACCGATTCAAATTCAAAATATTGGTCTCACAAAAGTAAGCTATACATACCTAGCAGTTATAAAATATGACGATCCATATACATATTCGTCTATTAGCGTACTTTCCTGATAGAGATTAATTTTTAATTTTTTCTAAAATATACGCGAATGCCAATTTGCAAAAATTAGTAATGTCCTTTTAATGAAAACTCAATCGTTAACAAATCACCAAAAAACAAATACGTAGGTAAAAACGAAACGTAGAACAAAATGGCCTTAAAAGATAAAAGCTATGTATGTATGTACATTATGGTGGCCCCAAAATGGAAGTTGCTGATGTTCCCACCGAAAATGAAAATTTAGTTCATTCTAAGATACCATTTCTCAACATTTTTGTCCTGACGTCAATATTTCGGCGTCATAAAATAACTTCCCACGAAATAACTTCCCAAAACAAAAATGAAATAAGTTCTTAAATTGGGAGGCTTGTTTCATTATGAAATAATTCCCCAATTTAAAAATGAAAAAAGCCCCAACGAAATGAAATAAATTCCTAAATTAAAATGAAATAACTCCCCATTTTTGGGGATTTATTTCATATGAAACAAATCCCAAATTTTAAAATGAAATAAGTTCCCATTTAAAAATAACAAATTATGGAACAAGTCAGTTTTAGTGACATTTCTAAAAAAAAAGTAGGTCGCTCATACTTTCGAGTGGGTTTTCAAAGTTTAATACATTTCAGTTTAATCGCTTAATAAAGATTCTCTTAATAGCCCGCCTGCGGCCGGGCGCAAGGACTTTCTATTCTATGGTATGTCCAACAACGGCTTCGCTTAATAAATATTTCCTAAATAGCAAGGATTTACCGCTCTATAATATGACCTTCGCTTAGTAAAGATTTCCTAAATAGCCGGCCTAAGGCTGAACACTCTTGATACAGTGAGAGTGTATTCTTAGCGAAGCCGGTGTCCAATGTACCCCTAGGATAAAACCCTTGCGCCCGGCCGAAAGCCGGCTATCAGTCATATATTTTTTATTTCGTGTGATAAAAGTAATGTAATGAAATAACTCCCGAAAAATATTTTTAAGGATTTATTTCATTTTTGAATTTTAAGGAATTATTTCATAATGAAATAACTCCCCATTTTAAATGTGAAATAATGCCCTAAAAAACAAATTAAATCCCCAAATTTCGTTGTTTTTCCTTTCTTAACAAATTTTTAGGAAGTTATTTCATTTTTGTTTTGGGGAGTAATTTCGTGGGGAGTTATTTCATGACGCCCAATATTTCATATCTTTCCTTTGGAAGAAATATGAAAAAAATCATAAAAACTTCAAAAATTTACCTTTTTATCCTTTGATCCAGCTCTCCAAATATTGACGACAGGACAAAAATTTTGAGAAATAGTATCTTAGAATCAATTGAACTTTAATTTTAGTTGGGAACATTGAACATTTTTCCTCCATACAAACGGGACCACCCTAATATACATACATATGTATCTAATAAAAAGAATTCCCACTTTACTCAATTTTTTTCTAGTTATAATAAATAATTCTTAAATAAGTAATATGTCATTAGGGATATAACCAAAATTTGGCCTTAGTCGCCAGTAGTGTTATAATAACGAAAATCTTTTTCTCGGCTCATTTTGGCGCAAAAACCTCCGCGTTTAATCGATTTTCTAAAACCATTTATATACAAATTTAACTAGAATTTTATATGTTTGGTTTCTAAATTTGGAAGAAGGCCTCCATACTTATTTTTTCCCCATGTTAAAGTCTTGGGTCAAACATTGAGATTTGTTTGTATGTAAATTTTCCGATTTTGTATTAAAAAATGTTCATTTTATTTAGAGTAAATATCGAAAACTTTAAGACATTTGCCGCGGAAACTTTTTTAACGCTCGGCAAAATATGTGATATACTTTTTCGACGTACTTTTTTATACTCTATGTAAAACGGATAAACGGATTATAACCCTAATGTACATACTTCGTATGTTTTTGAGTGGGTGCGATTATGTTCAACATCAATCAATCGATTGATCTGTACACATTATTTTATTAACACTAGAAGTGCTTTTTGATTGTGTCTATACTTGAGTGCATTTCACATTTTTGTGCAAATAAAGATGTTCGTTATACACTTTGGATACTCACATCTCTGCAGTTCGAAGTGACAGCCACGAATTAAACGTTTATCATTCCAATTACAATTACATAGCAGTATATGTAACAAGATATTGTGATACCTGCGGGTCCTAGCCAGATTTAAATTGACTCTACGTAACAAATCGAAAAATACTCAACCAAAAATTTTTTTAGCCCATTCTATCAACTTTGAAATAAATGCTTAACATCAGACAAACATATTTTCTTTCTTCAAAGCTTGATATAACAAATATTTTACAAAAACTTTATTTTTTCGCACATTTTTGTTTTACCAAAAAGCTTGTCCATTCCATTCCTATGAAAGTACTTTTTGAAAATTTGTAAAATCTGCTGTAGTTGTTGAGATATCATCCATTGAAGTTAACGGACAGACATCGTTAAATCGAATCAGAATCATGTTTTACGAGAATATATCTCATAGAATAAAGATGATATGTCAGATGTTAAACCTATATTTTAAAGTTGCCAGAATGGACTTTCAGAAGACATACAAGACTTACATTTTATAAATAAAGTTGTCTTGGCGCAATTATAACGTCTCAAAAAAAGTAAAAATGGCGTTTTTTTTAATTTCAGGACACAAGAAATCGAGGCCAGGACACGAGATATCGAGGCCAGATTCGGATTCAGCGGGGCTCAATAACTTAAGAAACATCTAATTTGGTCTCAGGGTTTCGACTTTTTTTGTCGTCCTGTGTAATTATTTAAAGTTTATAAATGTAAAATTAAAGAAAGATATTGGTAAAAAGTATTTAATACTACAAAGTCAGTGGACTCCTTATAAAACTGTTGGTTAAAAAAAGATATAAATAAATATAAGGTATAAATACCAATCAATAAAATGTGAAGAGGTTTATCCTGTCTTACAGTGTTACTTAAACTAAATAAATGTGGTATTTAACAAGTAATAAAATATTTACATAATTTTATTTTAAACTTAAAACATAAACGTTTTAAATAATGTTAATTCGGCCACAATCAATTTGAACAAATATTGTTTTTATCTATTGAAACAGTAGTTATGTTATAGTAAGAAATTGGTTTGAGATTTGAAAACTTTTGATTGTAATATTACACACTGTGCGGCATGTAGTATGAAATGGATTTTTTGTTTTAGATAAAAATACATTTCAGTTATTTATTTTGTAGAAAAACAACACACACATAATAAAGGACACATTAGAAAAGCTCACCCATGAATAGATGTATACTGTCACTGTCTATCAGTGTCAATTGTCATTCCATTAAGTGGTCCTGATTGTATTTACAGACTCGCAAATATGAACGAGACACATTTTATAACTAAGTACATAAATATCCGTGTAAATACATTCGATTTACTTTTATTTTTATTTACATTTTCAATTTTGTATTTTTATACCCATCACCTTCGTCAGAAGGATATATGTATATTAGGGCGGCCCCCTTTGTATGAAATAAATTAAGGTACAGATACAAAATGTTTGTCCTAGCTCAAAGGGTATTATGGTCCTTTCTTAACGGATTTCCAATTTCATCTCATTAACGCAAAGAAATTATATGAAACTTTAATAATATGAGAAAGATTTAGGAAAGGGGCTTTCTATGTACGATATACCAAAATTCGTTGTAAAAACTATGGAAAAAATCATAAAAACCTCAAGTACGTTTTTGTCTTTTCAGCTCACCAAATAGAATGAACTAAATTTTAATTTTCGGTAGTAACATCAGCAATTTCTACTCTGGACCACTGTAATGTATAAAAATGCTTCAAAATTCAGTTTTATCATGACAGCCCTAACAGCTAAACATAGAATTTCGAAATTTTGACAGTAATGTCTATTTGAAATTTGTACATTTAAGGCCAAACAAGTGATAAAAGAAAAATTTTAAATACTCTGTATCTACTCTAAAAAAAGTTCTGGTACTTTTAAAAGGTAAAAATGTGTAACAAAGGTGATTTTAGTACCTTTTTTTATAAATTATTGGACATATATATCTCTAAAAATTATCAGAAACACTTTTTAAGCTTTTGTAAAATACAGTACTTTTTGGGAGTAAACGGAAAAAACTGTATTTTTGGTACCTTTTTATACCCACCATCAAAAAGATGGGGGGTATATTGATTTTGTCATTCCGTTTGTAACACATCGAAATATTGGTCATAGACCCACAAAAGTATATATATTCTGGGTCCTTATTAAATTCTAAGACGATCTAGCCATATCTGTCTGTCCGTCCGTCTGTCTGTTTAAAGCACGATAGAGTCCGAAGAGAACCTATATTCTCTATATGTAAGGTTTATTTGGTATTGAAAATGGGCAATATCGGTCCACGTTTTCGGATAGCCCCCATATATCTCCATGCATGTCTGTTTCAAAATTACGAGTATAGCGATGAAATTCGACATAAATAAGTTTCATATGATCCAAAATCTCCCTACCAAATTTTATGAGGATCGGTCCATAATTGACCATACCTCCCATATAAGGCCCGCTTTGAAAAATTACTTTAACGCTCATTACTGGCTTAAAAATACGATTATAGTGATCAAATTGGACACACATAAGTTTCAATGTAGATAAAATCTCTCTATCAAACTTCGGTCCATAATTGACCCTACTCCCCATATAAGGTGCCCTTCAAAAATTACTGGCCTAAAAATACAGAATACAGAAAAGCGATGAAATTCGACACACAATTATACAAGTTAAAACCCCTCTACCAAATGTATTGAGGATCGGTCCATAAGAAAATTACTTTAACGATCTTTGCTGACTTAAAAATACGTGAACAGTTATGAAATTTTATATAAGAAACATTTATAGGTACATAGGTACTAAAGCCTATATAGGACCATGTTCAGGTAAATAGTTTGGTACTTTTTGAAAACATTAATTTTCTTAATTTATTTCTGGCCTACTATCCATTAGTATTAAACTTGGTGCTTATTTCATCCAAATCGATTTTTTGAATTGAATCACTTGACACGAAATTGCCCATGTATGTATATATTTGAAACCCACTATTGTCTATCAGTCACAAAGATTTTTAGATGAAATTCATTCACAGAAAATAAAAACAATATGATTTTGTTTCTAGTATTATTTAAATACTTGTTCGTTGGCAAAATGATATGCTCGTGTGAATCTTAAATTGATATCATCATTCAAACATTTAAAAGCAATTATCAAGAGGATTTGATCTGAAATATTTAAAATACTTTAATGAAGAACGTTTTAGAAGAAGAACGTAAGTACAAGATTGAATTAAATTTAACTTAATGTTTAGATTCTGAGGAACATGACTTATGACGAAGCCTATTGAAAATGGTTAAAATCGGTCTATTATTTCACATACCCCCCATACAACTGAACCCCCGAAAAGAGCTTTTGAGCTCATAATTGTATCTCGACAAAATGTGGTACAATTTATTTTTATACAAGTCTGTCATCAAGAATTTCATATTGATTGCTCCTCATTTGACCCTAGCTTCCATACAAAGTCCCCGTCAGAAAATGACTTGAATATCCACAATTCACTTATAAAAACAAATATTGCGATAAAATTCAGCACAAAATGAATGTGTGTTTGTTTGTTTGTGGGTTTGTTTGTTTGAAGTCTATAGACGGCTAATCGGCTGGACCGATTTTCTTGAAATTTTAACACTACTTTCCTGTATTTTTGGAAGGAACTATAGTCTACTTTTTATTTTAAAATTTCAAGTAGGCGAGGTGCCACGCCTACTTATTAAATAACAATTAAAAGTCATATATCTTGGAAACTGGTACACTTAGAGTTCTCAAATTTTGCACGGACAACTTTGACATCCATAAGAATATTTTGGGACAAAATGGGCGGAATGACTATAGTGGGCGTGGTACCTTCCATATTAAGAATTTATTAAATCAGTATATCTAGGAAAATGTAACAGTTAGAGCCCTCATAGAGATACATAAGCCTCAATATGATTTGTTAGGATAAAAAGTGGGCGGACTAGCTGCAGGGGGCGTGGCACCTCCCATATTAATTAAACACACAAATTCGTTTATCTTGGAAACTATTAGAGTTTATTTTATTTTGAGTAATAAATTGGCGGACTATCAATGGGGAGAGCGGCACCTCCCATATGAATTTAATACAACAAAATATTTTATCTAAGAAAGTAATAGAACTGGATTCCTAAAATTTTGCAAAAAGGACTATCATATTCATCTCAACATTTTGGGGGAAAAAAGCGGAGTTTCATCAGGGGGTGGCTTGGAACCCCCATATGAATTATATAGAAAAATTTTTATATCTGAGATACTGTAGAAGCTAGAATCTTCAAATTGGCGAACTTGCAATAATTTGAGTGGCATCTCCCATGTGTAAGTGTTTTTTTTTTTTTTTTTTTTTGCTTTTAGGGTAGCAAAGCACACTGGGTTTAGCTAGTATAAATATAAATCTATCCACAAAATTTTATCAGTATCGGTCCATATTTGCTCCTACCCTCATATAAAGCTTTTTTTATAAAATTAGTTGCTAAAATAAATCCACTATATCTATAGAGAATCTGAAAAGCACTTCAATTAAACAAAACTCATAAGTTCTTCCTCTATTTTTAATTTATTTGTTAAAATGTAAATTATGTACGTATTTATATATGTATGTAGATGAATATAATATTACATTTTCTTGTGAATATTTTCACAAATTTTTGTTACCTCGCGACGAAGAGTTTTTCCCGACTTAGTACGAGGTAAATTTTCAAAGAAATAAACTCCACCGCGCAATTGCTCGAAATGCTGCATCCTATTAGCAACATACTCACATACATCTTTCTCACTTAAGTGACTGTTTGGACGTTTTACGACAGCTGCTGCAGGTAAATGTGTATATATATTGTCGGAAATACCAACCACACTAACTTCAACTACATCGTGCAGTTCCATGATGACCTTTTCAATTTCGGTAGGATAAAAATGGTAATTATTATATTTTAAAATATCTTTCTTTCGATCGATTATATATAGGTGGCCATCATCATCGAAATAGCCTAAATCGCCACTATGAATCCAACCATCTTTATCGTATATATTAGCAGTGGCTTCGGAATTATTAAAGTAACTAGCCCAGGCATAGGGTGTGCGAATACAAATCTCTCCAACATCATTTGCAGCCAAATTTTGACCGTTATCATTGATAATTTTAACCTCAACGTTACAGTTTAATTTACCAACTGAATCTCTAGCTTCCATTTCGTAGTAAGAAATCCAAACGCAAGCTTCACTCATGCCATAACCGGTGAGAAAAACGGCATTTTTGGCAAACTGTTTAAACTTTTTAACAAGACTATAGGGAACAGCACTACCACCGGCCATAAAAAGCTCAATACTTGACAGATCGCAATTATTAATTCTATCCGAAGTGAGAGTCATGGCCATCTGTGATGGTGGACTTAAAAGTATATTCACTTTGTAACGCTCTACTATATTGAAGAAGTCGTCGGTTGAATACGGTCGATTAGATATCACACGGGTTATACCAGCAATAGTACCATGAACCAGGGTTACTAGACCCGTTAACCAGTAAAGAGTACTAAAACAAAGGAATTTATCCGAGGGAAGAAATTCACTAAAACGAAAATATTATTTATACTATACATTGACCGAAAAACTCTCTCTATATATTTCGGTAAACTTACAATTTTTTGGCATTTAAAATACTGGCATGCGACATGGTAACACCTTTCGGCAAACCCGTGGTACCGGACGAACACAAAATCATGGCAACTTGATTCCAACCCTGTTCCAAAACTGGAGCTCTAATTTATATACATATAATAAAAAAATAAATAATATCGCTTGTGAAAATGTTTGTATAACATTACTTGAAATCCTTTTCCCCTTCATTATACTCCATCAATTCCTCCAATGATGGCACCTTATCAATATGTTTACTAACAGTATATATAATTGTGTCGCAAAGATTGCATTCATCTAGAGCAGACTTTACACTTTCATAATTATCACCATCACAGAACATTATTTTGGGTTTTGTTATGGAATAGACATGAGCAATTCCACTTTTATCAAAACTGGGATCAAGAGTACTAACACTTAGGCCACATAACAGTGCTCCAAAGGTTAAAGGAGCTACAAAATCACTATTAGCAGCACACAAACCTATAACATCCTGCTGCTCTACATTAAGTTTTTGTAAATTAAGGGCAATTCGTATTGAGAGTGTAGCTATTTCCCGATTTGTGTATTCTTTACCGCTAGGATAACAAATCTACAAGAATACAATTTTCAAGTATTAAAACCACTATATCCATCGTTCTTGTTAATTACCTGAGCTATATGATCAGGATCTTTTAGCAGCGATGATATAGCAACTGATCCAATGGAGTCGTGAGTCCCAAAAACATGATCTACACGTTCACCATGCCAAATTTTGGTTTCTTTATTAAATGTGGTTATTGCCAGCTTAGAACGCAAACGACTTGTCATGGTGACTGTTCAAAATCGACTGTTATAATTGACTGTCTTACATCTTAATATTTATAAATATTCAATTATATTTGGGTCTACTCATCGGTGATAAGAAGATTAGTAAATAGAAGAAGACTTAAATGATACTTTACGTCATATAATCTTTTGGATTATTTAATGTAAAACAATTGAGATAACATGTACAAATAATGTTTACGACGTTTTTGTTGACTAAAATATGTACTATATTTAATTGCTCTTGGATACAGATATTTTATTTATTTGAAGAACGCATAAAAGTGCTTATTTTCCTCAGACGTACAGTGGTAGAGATTCAACAAAAAGTTAAACAAAATTTAAATTAAAAAAAAGAAAGTGAAATTAGGAGTTTTTTAAGTTTACAATAATGTTTGGTTGGTTCATCTTGGATCAACCACATGACGAAGTAAATGTTCCAGAAATTTTTGCAGCGACTGCAAACGTACAGAAGTTACCGCATTTCTGGTCGGAGCAACCCCATTTAGAGCGGGTTTTTGAAATGATAATCAAATGCCAATTAATAATCAGATTAGTTAATCTAAAAATAAATTAAATCTTATGTTAATCCCCTTTGATGTTTTTGAGTACAAGATTAAACTTCGCAGTGTTGCCATACAAAACAACAGAAAACTTCACTGTTTGTTATCAAAACAATGCATATTTTATAAAAAAGAAGAAGACAATTGTAAATTTAATATGAAAATTAATGAAAACTTAAATAAAAAACAAAAAAATGTATTTTGAAGTGTCTATAATTTATACTAATCAAAAAATAGAACATTTTAATGTTTATATTTATAAAAATTGTATTATTTTTTTTTGCATCAGCTGTTTACACTTTTGCATTTCGTGCTTAAGATTAAACCACCTCCATTGGGCGCTTAAACTTGCAAAAAAAATTAACTAATTGAGTACTCAAAAACATCTTTCGAGGATTAATTTTAATTTAATCGCTAATCTTGGCCCTTATGGTTTATCCAAATCGAAAGCATATTCGCCTTAGCTCAAGTAATTGCAAATTTAGATCCAACGTATTTTAAGTTTGTGGGAGATATTTCTGTTCCACCATCACCATTTGGAAAATACAACAAGGAGCGACTCATTACATCATTTGCTGTTTCAGAAGAGGCAAAACTTTAGAAACTTTTTGGTGGTTTGTAATTGGTGCCAGAAACTGTCACATTTTTTGCAGTCAATGAAGGCTCTTGCAGCTGGTAATAATATAGGCGACAATGTCCTTAAAATAATATTTTTAGATCAACTGCCAGCAACGTAGATCTACAATTTTCAAGTATTGCCCAACAGGCGGCTAAGATAATGGATATAGCATATCCTCATGTATCCGCAATATCACCTACTGGCAACATTATTCAAGAATTTTAGCTAAAATTAAAGTTTTGAAAAAGAAAATTGATTTAACTTCCAGGAAAAGAAGTATTTACGTGAAGACGGAAACCAACGAAGTCATAATAGACGTAGTGGTTGGTGTTGGTATCATAGTCGCTTTGAAGACAGAGCCGAAAAATGTATACCTACATGCTCTTATAATCAATAATCAAGAAACTAGAAGTTGGTTCGAACAATAAGGCATCCGAAACAACGTTGTCTAAAACAAGCCACCTACAGTTGGCGGCCTACTAATCACAGATCGTGTTAAAAAATTGAATTTTTTAATAAATACAGATGCAGACGTGTCAGTAATTCCTTGTTATAAAATCAAATTTTATTATTATAAAATCAAATTTAGTTTGTCCATTAAAACTTTATGCTGCCAATGGCACTAAAATACAAACATATGGTACAAAATTGTTGGATTTAGGCGGTCGTTTCAATAGGGTTTTATTGTTGCGAATGTTACTCGTCCAATTCTTGGTTCGGATTTTTTAAAATATCACCATCTTTTGCCGGATCTATATAATAGTAAGTTAATAGATGGTAAAGCTTTCATGAAATCATCGGTACAAATAACTCAATCATCATCTGCAACGATTTCTCATATTATGAAAGATGATTCTATACATCAGAAACTACTTCAGAAATTGCAAAGAAAAAGTCCTAGTTTATGTTAGATCAACGAATAATCCATCTATCGAAAAGTGAATGGTCAAATCCTCTTCACATGGTAGCAACGGAGACTGGCATCCATATGGATCAAAAAACGGTACCAGATAAGTATTCGATTCCCTTCATAACAGATTTTAATCATAATTTCAAAGGATGTACAATTTCTTCGAAACTGCACCTTGTACGTACTCACAGTGGGGCAGAATGGAAATTTTTTGGAAATAAATCTGGCATTTCTAAACGGCTGATCCGATCGGTATAAAATTTGGCGTGAGCGTAGCCAAGGAGTATTCGAGTTTAAGTTTTGAAGATGAACCCCGCAGATGCCCCAGGGACGGCGCTGTGGCGGCTCAAAGTAGGGTACCTACGACATGTAAAATTTTTAAACTCGTGCCATTTTTTTGTTTTTCATCCATCTGAAAGCGCTCGACGAGATCTTGAAAAAACATGCTTGGACATACTACTTATCTCTTATAATATCCGAGTTATAGGCATTTAAAAATTTAGTGATACAAAATTTACCATACCTTGGTCCGCCTTTTTTTGAATACCGGGCGTAATTTTGGACCAAATGGACTCAATTTTATCTTGTTAGTTAGACAACAAAATTTCCAATAATATACAAAAAATTTCAGATCAATATCATTTACAGATCCAAAAATATACGTTTTTTAATTTAAAAATTCAAAAAATTTTAGATTTTTGCCGTTTTTTTGCCAAAAATGTGTCTTAACTCTTTTATTAATAAAATAAAATTTTCTTTAAGAACATATAACAATTTTATAGTTTTCTAAAAGGTATCTTTACGCAGAACGCTTTGGCGTAAAAAACTTGTCCTATTTTTTGAAAATGTTGCCACTGCGTCCTTCCGAATATGACCTATTTTTTATCAAAACTTCAACTTTGGGCGACATGTTCTAAAATCCCAAAGCTGGGATCAGAAAACTGAAAGCAGTTTTGGAAACCTCAATATGTTTTCTATTTGCTCCAAAAGTATTTTCCCAGCCCTGAAAGAAATGTGGACCCTATGGGCAAAAAAGTAAAAAATCCCATTTTTGGGATTTTCATTCCTCTTTTTGGGAATTGCGGGATAACCTTTGACCTTTTCAATTTTTTTTTTGCATTTTCTTATTTGAAATGACAAATTTAATAAGCGTTGAAAATTTCATTGAGTTTTGTTCATAAATAAAGATTTTGTCTTATATTACATATTTGTTTAATTTCTAAAACTATGATTTATATCAAAATTTTAATAGGGTCGCAGATAGCTACAACAATTTTGTCCATATTTATCCCTTAATATCATTTTTTAGTTAGATATTGAAATTCTCGACCCTTTACAAAAAATTTCAAGCCAATATCTCAATTACATTCAAAAATATGTTCATTTAAACCTGTGTCCTTTAATTTCATCTTTTTCATATTTTAGTATTAAGTATGACAGAACATACATTTGGTGTTGAATAAAATATTTATACAATTTTTAAAAATTATTTAGTTAATTATTTTATTAAAGACTATATATTAAGTACCATATTTAATAAATCTACAATGAAGATTACATTAAAGTACGAAGAGTTGTGTTCCGTTTTATGGAGTGTATCTTCAAAAGGGCCAGAAAGAATTGAACACATTTCAAATTATATAAAAACTACATATAGTAGAAAAGTAGACAAAACAGGCATATCAAAAATTGAAAACTTTTTAAAACTTTTTGATGTAAAAAGTAAGTCTGTGGATGGAAATCAAAAGAAATTTCGATTAAAATTTTGTAGTTGGATGGAAACTACTACGGAAATCTCAACTTACAACACATCAACAGGAGCGCATTGCAAGTCATACGAAGACTTATGTTCAAGGCCAAAAAGAAAAGAGGGTCACACAAAAACTTTTTTCAATCTCAAATGAGGAAATTGCTGATACATTTAACGAAATGCTGAAATCTTTGCTCGAAAACACAGCATCAAGAATTGTGTCAGACTTTTCAGAAGACCAACTAAGGAAAATTCATAACTGTGATGTTGTCTTAATGTGTAAGTGGGGATGTGACGGTTTGTCAGCACTTCCAGAATACAAACAAGCTTGTGGAAGTCGGACATTAGCAGACTACAAAAGTGTATTTATGTCATCATTAGTGCCATTACGAATTCGTTCATATTCCCTTAATCATCGTCAAGTATCGGAAATTCATTTGAAGATATATGGATCAATACAACTCCGGGTTCAAAAAATTTTTGTAGATGGAAAAAGATGGATTTGTTATGAAACTCTATCATCTCAAAACAAGGAAGATTTAAAGGACTTATATTACCTTCTGGATATGTATACCGATATGACAGATTATTTTATAGAAAATAAGTAGTGTTAGGAATTAACTATATAAGTAGGTTGTAAGAATTAATTGTATTATGTTTAAGATAAACAGATCAAATAAAAAAAGCTATTATACTAACTGATGATATTGTATTAAATTGTGTTTTATATTTCGGTGGGCGGGAAAGGTGGTTAGTGTGGGGTGATTTAGGTGTTGTTGTGCGTGGCTCATAATAAAATTATAATTTTTTATTGTATATACAATGTTATAGTCTTTAATAAAATAATTAACTAAATAATTTTTAAAAATTGTCCAAATATTTTATTCAACATCAAATGTATGTTCTGTCATACTTAATACTAAAATATGAAAACATATTTTTGAATGTAATTGAGATATTGGCTTGAAATTTTTTGTAAAGGGTCGGAATTTCAATATCTAACTAAAAAATGATATTAAGGGATAAATATGGACAAAATTGTTGTAGCTATCTGCGACCCTATTAAAATTTTGATATAAATCATAGTTTTAGAAATTAAACAAATATGTAATATAAGACAAAATCTTTATTTATGAACAAAACTCAATGAAATTTTCAACGCTTGTTAAATTTGTCATTTCAAATAAGAAAATGCAAAAAAAAATTGAAAAGGTCAAAGGGCATCCCGCAATTCCCAAAAATAGGAATGAAAATCCCAAAAATGGGATTTTTTACATTTTTGCCCATAGGGTCCACATTTCTTTCAGGGCTGGGAAAATACTTTTGGAGTAAATAGAAAACATATTGATTTTTCCAAAACTACGACTGGGAAAATACTTTTGGAGTAAATAGAAAACATATTGAGGTTTCCAAAACTACGACTGGGAAAATACTTTTGGAGTAAATAGAAAACATATTGAGGTTTCCAAAACTACTTTCAGTTTTCTGATCCCAGCTTTGGGATTTTAGAACATGTCGCCTAAAGTTGAAGTTTTGATAAAAAATAGGTCATATTCGGAAGGACGCAGTGGCAACATTTTCAAAAAATAGGACAAGTTTTTTACGCCAAAGCGTTCTGCGTAAAGATACCTTTTAGAAAACTATAAAATTGTTATATGTTCTTAAAGAAATTTTTATTTTATTAATAAAAGAGTTAAGACACATTTTTGGCAAAAAAAACGGCAAAAATCTAAAATTTTTGGAATTTCTAAATTAAAAAACGTATATTTTTGGATCTGTAAATTATATTGATCTGAAATTTTTGTATATTATTGGAAATTTTGTTGCCTAACTAACAAGAAAAAATTGAGTCCATTTGGTCCAAAATTACGCCCGGTATTCAAAAAAAAGCGGACCAAGGTATGGTAAATTTTGTATCACTAAATTTTTAAATGCCTATAACTCGGATATTATAAGAGATAAGTAGTATGTCCAAGCATGTTTTTTCAAGATCTCGTCGAGCGCTTTCAGAAAATATAAAAATCTTTGTATTTGGATGAAAAACAAAAAAATGGCACGAGTTTAAAAATTTTACATGTCGTAGGTACCCTACTTTGAGCCGCCACAGCGCCGTCCCTGGGGCATCTGCGGGGTTCATCTTCAAAACTTAAACTCGAATACTCCTTGGCTACGCTCAAGCCAAATTTTATACCGATCGGATCAGCCGTTTAGAAATGCCAGATTTATTTCCAAAAAATTTCCATTCTGCCCCACTGTGGTACTTATCATCAGATACCCGTAAATATTGCCGATGTACCCAAAACGGCGATAATTACGCCTTTTGACCTTTTCGAGTTTCTAAAGATGCCTTGTGGACTCAGAAATGCAGCTCAAACTTTCCAACGCTATATGGATGAAGTGTGCAGAGGATTAAATTTCGTATTTGTTTACTTAACACATTTGCAGATGGTATATCGCCAATGAAATCGAAAGTTAACAAGTAAGAGTGTTATCAAACCGTATGCCTTAAAAGGAATGCTCCCACATAAACATCAGGGTGATATTACTCATCAAATTAACTGAAGAGGACCTTATATGACAGATAGGGTTAATAATTGACCAATCAACATAAAATTAGGTAGGGAGATTTTAGATCATATGAAACTTATGTGTGTTAAATTTTATCACTATACTCGTATTTCTGAACCAGTAATGAGCGTTAAAGTAATGTGGGGGATAGGGTCAATTATGGACCGTTCAACATAAAATTTGGTAGAGAAGTTTTGGATCATAAGAAACTTACTTATGTTAAATTTCATTGTTATACTAGTATATTTAAGCCAGTAATGAGCGTTAAACAAATTTTCTGAAGGGGGCCTTATATGGGGGGTAGGGTCAATTATGGACCGATCCTCATAAAATTTGGTATCGAGATTTTGGATCATATGAAACTTATTTATATCGAATTTCATCGCTATACTCGTACATTTGAAACATATATGCCCATTAAAGCTGTTTTTCGGGGGTCCACTTTTATGGGAGCTATCCGAAAACGTGGACCGATATTGCCCATTTGCAATACAAAACAAACCTTACATATAGAGAATATTTGTGGAAAATTTCAATCCTCTATCTCGTTCCTTTCGGACTCTATCGTGCTTTCAACAGACAGACAGACGGAAAGACATGGCTAGATCGTCTTAGAATTTAATAAGGACCCAGAATATATGTATATACTTTTGTGGGTCTATGATCAATATTTCGATGTGTTACAAACGGAATGACAAAATCAATATACCCGCATCTTTTTTTGATGGTGGGTATAAAAAGCATAACACTGTCGTAGAACTACGAAAATTCTTAGCAATGATTAAGATGTGAGGTACGAAAACCATTAGATCCAAAATATAGTGGACCATATAAAGTTTTAGAACAACATGAAAAATATTTTAAACTGCAAATTGGAGCTTGAACAGACAGAAAGTTAGTAATATTAAGTCCATTTTAACATCTTACTTAATATGAAAAGGAAAATAAGTTGACTGACTGTTTACCGGATTTTAAAATATAACGGTTATTTCTAATCTGAATTAATTTGAATGCAATTCAAAATCTGTTATTAATGTTTTATTTTCTTATCATATTTAATGTTTATCAAAATGACGCTAAAAATGTTGTTTACATATAAACAACATTTTTAATAATAATAATAATTAATTCGAAATACCTTTAATAATGCATTTTAAAATAAATATACGAATGTTCATGGGTTGAAAGCACTCATTTTAATGCCAAACTATATTTCCAAATATGATGTTAAAATCATGCATGTTTCACCTAAATATGAACCAGTTTATTATCAGTTGAAGCCATACATTTTCTCCTTTTTACGTCTTTTTTTGCTGGGTATGTATGATTGTATGTATATATTGTCCAATTTGGAAATACAAAAATAGTATTTACATCCAATGACATAAAATGTTTCCTTTTCGTCCGTATCAAAAATATGCACTCAACTGAAATTCATTTAATAACAAATTGTTGTTTACAAACTTGACAATCCTACAGGACTAAACAATTTGTTTTGATTTCCTTAAGGACATCATTATTTAAATTTCAAATACTTATGTACTTAACATACCCATTTATTTACATTAAATACTTGCACAGCAGCTAGCAAAATATGGTGCGTGTAGTAGATAATTGACAATCAACAAACACCTGTGTTTACATTTTAACTGTCAATGGCAATTGCCATTCCTTACATTATTTTAATATACATAGATACTTAAGTATTATGGGGAAAATAATTTAAGAGCACTTACCACATTAACAAAATCTTGAAATGTTATATAACCCGGTCCAATGGGTAATTTAGCCTTTTTTGCTCTCTCCAATAAAAGTTCACGTTTATTCATAGGCACTTGTGATATAAATTCTGGTGATTTTAAAGCATTTATAAACTCATCTACGGTAATCTCACCAAATCCTTCGGGATCAAACTGAAATTGAAATTTTTATTCAAATTAATTCAATTGTAATAAAAGTTATTGAAAATTCAGTACTAACCATATCAAATAAAAGTTTCCATTTCTGTAATAAAGAATAAAGTTTTATTTATTAATATAGTTGTTAAAAATGCCGTAAACAAATTAGCTAATTTGTCAAAATTTAACAAAAGTTTAAAAATTTACAGTATGTTTTAAACAAGGTTAGAAAGTCTTACTTGGGTCCATAAATTATTTTGATTGTGTTACCCAAAAATGGTCCATAATTCGATCCACACACAGGACAACTACAATATAAAAACGAACTAACCCGTGGGGTATTATAAATTTATTATAGTCCCAGTATAAATGTAATACGAAACAAAAAATGGAGACCTGTCAGAAAATATCATTCTGGGACCTTTTATATAGACTTTGTCACATTTTGACGTCTTTGGGCTACGTTTAGATATTGTATTCAAAACAACATTCGGTTTTATGTATTTCTTTTTTTAATTTCTGAAATATTCACGGCGACTTTCAGCTTTTCCAGAAGCTTTGTTTAAGCTCTTTCGCAAATTTGCCTTTTAAAGAAATTTTCAAGGGGGTTTTGTGTTATAATAAAAATTTCTTCACAAAATTTCTGATACTTAAAACTTATTTATAAAGTATTTTACGACCGATATTTGTGTTAGATTGATTTTCGGAAGAAGGTCATATGTGTGGTTGGGTGAATAATTCTACAGAATTTGATTAAACAGTTCACTTCTATACTATAATTCAATCTTTCAATTGAGCCAATTTTTAACTATTTATTAAATTTAACATTTTTCTATCGCATTGATCCATAAGGAGAATACTTACATCTCTCAATAACTCTCGGCGTAATTCCGCTTCATCGAAATCCGAATTAAGCGATGTGTGTTCCGTATCATAGCCAGCATCATTAGTTCCCTAAATAAGATTAGAATTAGAAAATTAAAATGTTATTTCAATAATTCACATTTACATACATAACGTGGTTGTGTGTGTGATATTGAACCAATTGATACCAATGAGCCGGCTATCGTTGATATATGTTCGATGTCAGCCAAAGTTTCGTGTTGACTGCTACCGGGACCTCCAACATTAACACAACTACCACCGACAACGCCGCCAATCCCAGCAGCTCCACCACTGCCATTACCATTAATGGTTGTTTCGATGGCTCGTGATGAACTTCGTTCGCAACCCGTCCACATAATCGAACATATAAAATGAATCGAAATGTTATCTTTTCAAATGCTGTTGTTGATGTTTTCGTTGTTGCATGTACAAACCGATGATGACAATGATAATGATGTTTTTATAACACTTTATGAATTCCATTCATGTAATTTGTTGTTATTCTTTACAGTTCATAAGATTATTTTTATTAGTGTACAATTATATTCACATGTATTTTAGTGTACTGCCTAAAAGTATGCAATTTGTTATTATTTATTAAAATTAATAATGCGATGTATATGCTTATTTGCTGAATGGACGAGAAGTGAGCTCTTGGCCGAATGGGTTAAGCGCTCTGTTTAGAAAAAACATAAGGACAAACACATTTTCTTTCTATGCCCTGGGTTCGTAACTCAACCACGGCAAAAGAAAAAAGTTTTTAACCAACAACAGAAACAAATTTTAATTATTGTTGCCGAATAACGTTCGCCCTCAAATGTTCGTTTAGAAGTTGTTTTCCTCTAATGATTCTACTTCAAGGCATTAAAGGGGGCCAGATCAAAAATCTCGATTAATCATAGATCAATGGTCGTATCGATACCGTAGTCTATTTCATGCTCGAGAGACATTCTTTTTAACAGATATCCAAGCAAACGTTGTGTCAAGGTACAGGCTGCAATTTTCAAGATACATATTTTGATGGTATTTGGACTATACATGTTTTTCGGCCCAAGGACGAAGCTTATTGAAAATCTGTTTATTATTTCACCTAGCCTCCGTAGAATCGTACCTTCCGAAAAATTTGTGCAAATTTATAAGTTGACATACATATTTTTTAATGTTTCTGTTAAAATTTTTTTTTTCAACTGTTTATATGACCTCAATTTACTTTTGTGTTTCTGTTAAATAATAAAGAATTTTGTTTAATTATTCAGAAAGAAAGCACTTTATACGGAAATTAATTTAAATTATGTCTCAATATTTACAGCGATAGAAGTATTATAACGTTTTAGATATTTGAAGATATTAAAGATATTTCCTAAAGGGTACTATATGGTGGGTATATTGATTTTGTCATTCCAGGTCCTTATTAAATTCTAAAACGATCTAGCCAGGTCTGTCCGTCTGTCTTTTGAAAGCACGATAGAGTCCGAAAGGAATGAGCTACAAAGTTGAAATCTTTGGTATTGAAAATGGGCAATATCGGTCCACGTTTTGCATAGACCCCATACAAGTGGCCCCCGAAAAACAGCTTTAACAGTCATAACTGTTTTAAAAATGCGAGTATAGCGCTGAATTCACGATCAAAAATTTATCTACCGAATTTTAGGAGGATCGATCCATAATTTACATTACCATCCATATAATTTCCCCTTCAGAAATTTACTTCAACGCTCATTACTGCCTTAATAATAAGAGTATAGCGATGAAATTCGACATAAGCTAATTTTTATGAGTTAAAATCTCTGTACCAAATTTAATAAAGATAGGTCCGTACTCCCCATATAAGGTCCTATAGCGCTGAAATTAGACATAAGTAAGTTTCTAACGAGCACGAATCTCTCTAACGAAATGAGAATAGGTCCATAATTGGCTCTACCCCCCCACCTTCAGAAAATGACTTTAGCGCACATTACTGGCTTAAAAATGCGAATATAGCTATGAAATTAGATATACAGAAGTAAGTTTCTTACAAGCCAAAATCTCTCTACCGAATTTTATAATTGACCCCGATTGACCGCCCATATATGTTCATGGTTTAAAAGTTAGACAAAAATATTTTGTTTTTAAAAATTAATATTTTGTTAATCCGAAAGGGATGTGTCCATAATTGACTTAAGCCCTATTTCAAATATCAACCTTATGTAATAGTTTCTGGGTACATAAAACTAACATTTGTAAAATTCCATCATAATTGCTACCAATTTATCATATTTATGACTGTTGAAGCTGTATTCTAGAAGTTGAAGGATTTCAGAATTAGCTAGGACTACGTAGTTTTACGTATTTAAGTTTATTCTTTGGTATTTAATTACAAATTTATTAAAATATTAAAAATTTTACTTCCATCTCTCATTTTTAAATATATAAATAGGTTTTCTTTCTGAACCTTCTAAAAATATTATATTATAATATTATTATGTAATACACTCCCCGAAATATTTTTACTAACGGTACTTAAAGTTTATATTCTAACGAAATAATTATAAGACCAAACGTAAGATATTGTTATAATCGTTGAAAAAAATTTTTTTGGAAAAATTTATGGGTTTTTATACTTATTTTTATTAAAGTTGTCTCTAATGTCATAAATAGGTTGTTGGTATACCGATTAGTGATCTAAGGAGTAAATTTTTGGCACATAACTTAAAAAACATTGAACAATTTAAAATGAAACCAAAATATTTCGGGGAGCGCACAGTGGGAGAAAACCCCAATTTAGCTCAATTTAATTCATATCTTCTTTACTTATGACCTGATAGATTATAGATGTATAGTGATATTTTAGACAAAGATGTGTGCTATCGAATTAGTGTACTTTGGGATATCCTGTTTTCAAACAGGGTGTGCTATAAAGTGTTGTATTAGACAACCTCATTTGTAAATATATTATAAATAGTGTTAACATGTTTATAATTATGTATGTATACCTTTAGTATTGATAACTTTTTTGAAAACTAGAGTATAATTCGAAATATGTGAGGTATATTAATGAAATTTTGGACATGCACCCTGCAGTCAGGATAGACCGAAAATATTTTTAAATATTTGTATATTTTTTGGTAATGAGCAGTAAAATAAGATTAAAATAAATATTATAATCATAATCAAATTAGAATAGATATTTTTCATTAAACAATTATGTTTATGATTTATACCAATTTAGTAATATAATTAATTGCTGGAGTATCTGTTTAAAAAAACTGCAAACATTTTACATATAAAACTAATAATTCTTTTCGTTAGCTTTTCAAGTAATATTTTGTAAACATTTTCTTTATAAAATATTTCTTTAATGGAATAGAAATGGGAAGATATTAAATGACATAATACTGCCTTTACAGTAGGGTAAAAGCTGTTATAATCCTGGGTATAATATGAAATATATGCTCCATATTTCTATAAAATTAAAAATTACGACACTACATATAATTTCAGACAGTTTCAATTAAATAAAATACATATTCCAAGATTGGACTAATATAATATCCAGTACAGGAAGATTTGTTCAGATTTGGTGTATTGATATATAATTTTTTGAAAAAGACAACACTATTTTTATTTTGCTATGCATTTGTTATGATTTTTTTAAGATTTAATTTACTTCCGACAAATTTACATTTTTTGTCCCACTGTGATGCATTGTCCAATTTTTTTAAATTTATTCTACTTCATAACTAGATAAGGCTTCACGATATATATCTAAAGGATATATATCGTGATATCTAAAGGATATATTGGATCTAAAGGATCCAATATTTTTCAAATCCTTAATTTATTTGACTGAAACCCAGAAATTATTCATATTCCATAGTCGTCATGTTTTCTAAAAAAAAATTATAGAAAATCAGTTCGCACTTTTTCGCAGCTAAATTTTTCACCAGTTATACTATATAGTATATACTAAAGGCACAAATACATATCTAAACTGCATTTCACTGCACCGATAACTAATAGCTTTTTAAAGTTGAACTATATGAAAAAAAATAATTACCAAATATTTTGCACGACTGTAATGCTAAGAATAGCAAATACAACATAAAATTAATTAATTTGCCTCGAGCAGTTCCCGAATTATATGAAAACAATAAACTATCCACTATATACTAACAGTGGATATATATATTCAATGATATCAAAACTAATCCGAAATACTGATATTTAAAATATACAAAAATGTTCACGTTCAACTTAGTGTTAACTCGTTATGGAAGATGCTATTTTATTATGCTATGTATATTTGAGATCATTGATAACCTGAGACTGCATTATAATTTTCTAAAAATCTGAAAGTTTATTTTTTTATTTTCGCGCCACTAAATTGTATATTTCTCCCACAGTGGAGAGTATATAATATAATTACAAATTTCTGTAATACAATTGAAATCACAAAATTTTGTAGCAGTAATAAATTGAAATCAAAGCATGGATTTTCATATTCTTACCATATTTAAAATTTTGATGACCACTACTAATAATCATACTTTTTGACAGTTTAATCCAAGTAACGCTATTTCTTGACTGAATTGCACATGGTTTGTGTAATTTTACTCACACATACATACATATATATGTATTTATCATTATGTTTTTGATTAACGGTGATTTACAACTTTTTATTATGATTTATAAAATCAAAACAGAATAAAGAAATACCGGTATTTGACAGATGAAAATAGTACGAAAATTATGATATACTGCGCAGAATCCCATTTTTCTTTTCATAAAAATTTTCTATTTATATTTTTTTTAAATTCACTTTTTTCACAATTAACAAAACATTTTATTAATATTAAACATTTAATTTTCATTTATTTATTGAAATAAATTTTCAATTTTAATTGCCATAAGACTTTAAAATAAGACTTTTCTAAAACTGCACAAATTATTAATATTTTTCACTAAATCTCGGCTCTATTGACCGCCATTTATAAATACAATACTCGTATTATAATGAGTCCATTGACCGTAAATGTAAATGCACACATATTCAAACATTATTATTTCTTAAAATTTAAGTTTTATTTAAAAACGTCTTTATTTTTCATTTAATTTTTCGTTAAATTAGTAAGTTTATTATGTTAAATTTATTTTTATTAAATATATTTTTATTCACATGCACTAAATCCTACACGAACTACCACACCACATATGTATGCACGTTCACACCCCCACTGAACAGACAAGAGACTAATTTGACAACTAAGAAAAAAGGAAGTTTTCGAAAGCGGAATATCCAGCAGTAGTAGTGAAACTAACAGAATAGGGGTTGTTATTGTTGCCTTTATTTCTTCAATGTTTTTACCAAAGTTTACATCTTGTTCGCATTGTTTGTTTGTGGGGTTAACATTGTTCTTTGGCACAAAACCCGTTAAAGGGACTCTACGATATAAAATGAATAAAAAACAACAACAACCGGTTAAAAATACTCAGAATAAGGAATAAATAACATAAATGGATACAATATTAAATATATATAGACCACATGTGACGGTGGGGTCTAAAGGGATGTTTGTTTGAAATCAGAATTTCAAAAGTATAAATTCCTAATTCGTTTTTAATATAATTTATAAATTTACTGATATGATATTTTATACCCTATACAGGATATACATACATAATTATGTGTACTACAATTTCCCCAATTTTATGGAGAAAAAAGAAGGTACTGAATGATGTTTCCACAGAAAATGAAAGCTTGGTTCATTCTAAGATATCATATTCCAATCAGAGTTCCTGAGGGATGTAATATTGGGATTAATATCGTTCCAGCGTTTCACTATTCTCTAGACATGCTCCACATTCCTGTGAATCCCCTTAAACCTTCGGCTTCACTAGGAATTCGTATTCGTGCTGAGATTGATAATCGTTGTGGTGCTACCACATTTCATAGCTTCTTCATTGGGTGTATTTCTGAATGCAGAATTTCAGTATAGTCGAGTTAAAGGTAGTGGTTCAAAATTCACTTACTAATTATGACCTGAACTCATACTTTATCCAGAAAAAAATAACTTCCAAAGAAGCGAAAAAGAAGTAGAATTTACTGTATGGAAGTACCTGCAGAAGTGATGATTTAAACATAGGCTTGTCATAGGAGGGATGTCCTTTTTATTTGATTCCAAATTCACTACTTCTGAAGTAATTCTCAAAAAGTAATTTTTATGTTATTTTTATGGAAGTTATTTGGTAGTAAAATTGTAGTATTATAGAATACAAATAATTTGACTTAAATACATGCAAAAATGCAAAAAAATTTTGCATTAGTGCAAAGTGAATGTAATTTTCATGACTTATAAAAACGTCAGAACAAAGAATTGTTTTCGCTTCTTCGGAAGTTATTAACCATCACTTCAACAATTTATTGTCTTATATTAACATCCAATTTGACTTAAAAGAAAAAGATTTCATACACTTAAAGACAAAATTCTTTCTATTCTTTCTCTGCCGTTACTTACTTCATTATTAGGAGTCAGTGGAGCTAAACTAATAACTAAAGGGATGTAAAGGATGAAACATGATACAAAAGGAGTGGGTGGTTGTTATTTATATTTTGTTTTCAACGTGCAGCAGAGTCATAGGGCATGCGCATTAGAAATCGACCGACTATCAGACAAACAGGCACATTGCATTGCAATTTATGGACATAGCATTTGCATTGATGTTTATTTATGAAATTCCTTCGAGAATTATGAGGTTGTGATCTTAATCTACACCATGTATAACAGAAGGTCTCAAAAAAAATGCTTTTATGACACAGAATGCCCATAAAAAGCATAGTCTGCTAAAATCGACTTTCTGTAAGTTCCACGATTTTGAATTTATTTGTACAAAAACTATTCAAAAAAACTACGCTCCATTCAGCCATTTTTATTTATAAAAACACAAATTTTCTGATTGTTTTGAAATACTTTTCAAAAATTTTCATTTGTAGAAATAACGTTTTTTCAACAATTTAAACTTATTTTTTATAATTTAAATTTATTTTTTAATTTTTATTTAAATTCTAATTTATTAATTATGAGCGATAAGAAAATTACATCCCGTTCAAATCGTTTGTCTGAGGATAAAATATCAAGTTCCGATGAAGAGTTGGTGAAGAAACCAAAAAAACTAGTGGATGTGAGTTTATTTTTAATTTAATCCTTTTTCTATTTTAATGTGTTTTTATTTAAACTTCTTAAGGCTTCTGATATACCAATGGAACCTGGTCACCGAAGACGTCGTGGTGGAAGACGACGTTCACGATCACGAAGTCGCAGACGCCGCAGCCGTAGTAGACGTCGCTAGACATCAAGTATAAATTGTTTGTTGTGGTTGTCTTTAAAATAAATCTTTTGTTTGCAAATTTTTATTAAATAAAAAAATTTTAAATAAATCTATTTAAATTGCAATTGTTTACATAGTATGTAGGATTGGTCAAGATGGGACCAAGGTTTAAAAATATTTCTGCTCATATAGTTCTCGACCCTAATTCTGCAAGTCGAAAAGTAGTAAAGTTGGCATGTCTACTAAACGTTTTCGTATATTTGAAGGACTTACCAAACAATATTTCGCAGAGGCTGCAGTTGCTTAGTTCAAAACTTAAAATGGCTCCTCTGATGACATGCAATCAACATCAAAATACAATAGAAGATGCTTAAATTTCATCGACGTTATTGTGACGTGAGGTATCCGCATTAAATACCCAGCAAAAACTTATATTGACAGTAATGAGCTAATATCACTTTTTACTACTTATACAGTAGCATTTGATCTCAATAAAACCGCTCTCGCTTACTAATAAGTACAAAAATAAGTAATTACAAATAGAGAGTTAAAAAGGTTTCTGTATTACTCACAAATACCGACAAATATACGAACTAGGTTATCGTGTTTCTTATTCCGCTGTCAACATCACAGCTCACTTACTACTTTATGGACTTTCATTTCTTAAAACAGATCTAGTAAAAGCTTACTAATGTCTTTTTTTCTAGGAAATGTAGTGATAACTTAAAAAAAACCTAATTTAATTGTTTTTTCCACAATCACTTGATATGTTTCATTATAATTTTTAGTGTCCTATTCAGACAGATTTTAAAAGTAAAAACTATGTAGTAAGGAAATAATTTAATTTCTTTTTAATATTTTAATCATTTTTTTTAAATAATTTATTATAAATCTATATTAATTTCTTTTTGCATAAGTATGTATGAATGTAATTAAAAATAAACAAATTAAATAAAACAAAAAATCTGAATAATATTTAGTAACAATTTAATTTCTTGTTGTATATTTTTTTTCATTAACTATAGTTTACTGTTTTTAATTTATAACAGGATAATTAAACATATTATTCTTTAATTATATTTTATACAAGTTAAACTTCATTAATTTTGCAAACAAATATTAATGAGTAAAGAAAGTAAATAGTAGCAAAATAAAAGTTTTGAAGGAAGAATAAGAAAATTATGTATGAAATACGGGGGGATGTTTATTTCTTAAAGGTGTAGAACTTTAAGCCAGTCGCACTGTTTCAGCCATTTTAATAGATTTAAGTCTTTTCATGTTTAGTTTTGGTATCACTTTGTATATGAGGTGTGATCTCGAAATTATTAAAATATTTTGATTATGGAGATCGTGAAATTGAATAACTCTGGAATATAGGCTCCAGTATAGGCTTTTTATTCAAAAACCACAACATTCACCGTAATATTACCGACTTATGTACGGATATTTAAGAAAAAATAAGGTTTTTGTAGTAAAATGTTTACATGTACAAAGTACCATTGCACTCACAGCCAAGGCAATCACAATCCAAAAAATATATCGAACCTTGACCGTAAAAATAGCTTAAAGCTACATTATAATCGATTTTCAATATTAAATGAAAACCAATAATTTAGAATAATACAATACATAGGTTATCATTTTAAAGCAAATGTTATTTAAATTTAAGTGCTGTTCATACAAAAGTTTATATTTAACATTTAAGTTAATTTTCTTTCTCAAGACAATTTTATTGCAATTAATACAATTTATTATTTTAAAGTTCTACACCCACCTAAAAAACAAACTTTACGTTAAATATCAGGACTTAACAAAATAAAATAATTAATAATCTTAATATTTTATTTAGCATTTTTTGTTTTGTTTTCTCTTCTTTTGTTTTAATGTAATTTTACAATCTCTCACTTAAAATCTTCCTTCTTATACTACAATACGCTCACTCACTCTTAGTGGCAACGAGATTTTTTGAGTCATTTTAGCCCTCTAACATAGGACGAGGACGTTTAGTACACTGGTCGATGACCATTCGCGCTATACCTTTAATTTCCTCATATGGACTCGGATGGTCAATAAGTTCATTCAGTATTTGTATGCCATTCTCTTGTTCAACAAGTTGACAATATTTGTCTGGATACACCTGATTTGATTTAAATATTCATATTATTTGCAGGCAATTTATATTTTATAACAAAAAAATACTTACTTGTGTTAGATTTGCCAAAGCCCAAACAGCCCAATGTTGGCACTGTGGTGTTTCATAACACCGTACTAGTCCTAGAATAGGTTCAAAACTGCGGTAATTAATATTACGTTCACTTTTAATATCCCAACGTCTTATGGCATTCACCATACTTATAAGAACCTCATCACGTGAAGGTTCTTTAATTGTCCATGCTTCTGCACCATCTGAAGCTATATGTGCCAGCACACCAGCTGCATTGTAACTTACCTAAGTTTAAAAAAAAATAACAAAAATTTAAGTATTTACAAAATAAAAGTATTTTTTAAGTTTTTATGAGCAAATTTTCCATGCAAAAAACTAATTTTCGCATGATCTCTCCAGTTGGAAAACTATTCGTTTCATATAATCAAACATACGTACCTCTATGCCATCACTTTCGGATGATAATAGTTCAGCAAAAACTTCAATAAATTTTTGAGTCATTAATTTTGGCCTCAACCATTTAACTTCGGCTACATTGCCCAACAAGCCCATCATGTTTCGTAGCAATTCATCACGTTCCCTAAATGCCTGCAATAAAACCAATATACAAACACACGAACACATACAAAAAAGGAATGATTTTAAAGAAAGGTAGGATGGTAGGAAAGTGTAAAATAAATACTTACACAATTACTTACATTTAAACATCTCAAAAAATACTCCATACCATGGCCATCCAAAAATCTCTTACAATTAATAGCAGTCTCATCAGTTACATTCCACATAGTTGACCATGCCACTTCCATGACATCATCGAATACCGAACGTGTTAAACGATCTTTAATTAAGCTTAACATAGTCTGTTGAAACAAAAAATAATTAAAATAAAAACTGTAATATAAAATTAATAATGCAAAAAATACTTACACTTACAACTCCAAGTTCACCCAAAAATAGTTTTTGGCGACCATCAACCTGACAGGCCAATGTATTTAATAAATATATAGCTATTCTCTGTACAAAACCTTCTTGTTCTGTTTTCGAAACTCCATACAAGAGTATGGTAATCAGACGTTCATACTCAAACAACTGGAAATGGAAACAAAAGTTAGTTAAATGTATTCCATTCTCAAATTGAGTACATACCACATCAGTGGGCATTTGAAATTGTGTTAAAGTAAGGTAACCATTTCGTAGCATTGTATCGTCGTTTACATGCATCTCCATGCCATTGAGCAATGTCCGTATTATGTGATTTCTTAGAGGTGTACCAAATTTAGAACGATCTCGTCCCTTTACTATATAAAATAATGTCGCACTAAATAAAATAAAAATTGTAAGAATTTAAAACAATTTCGAAATATAATTGACATTAAACTAACCTGCCAGATATTTGCATATGTTTAAATTTCAAATGTCTATCCATAGCAGTCAATACAACATCTAAAGCGGTGTGTATATCTTTGCAGTTTTCAAACCGGAAGAGATGATATAAATCATTGAGAACCTTAAGAAAAGTATGAAATGATTATATTAATATTATACATTGTACTGTAAACTTTTCTAAAGTCTCGACTATAGACTCTTCTATAGGCTCGACTATAGACAGTTCAATAATCATGACTGTTCACTAGACACGACCATAGACTGTTCTACAGTCCTGACTATAGTCTGTTCTATAGTCTCGACTATAGACGGTTCTATAGACTCGACTATAGACTGTTCTATAGCCTCGACTATATACTGTTCTATAGTCTCGACTATAGACAGTTATAGAGTCACGACTATAGTCTGTTCTATAGTCTCGACTATAGACAGTTATATAGTCTCGACTATAGACAGTTATATAGTCTCGACTATAGACTGTTCTATAGTCTCGACTATAGGCTGTTCTATAGTCTCGGCTATAGACTGTTCTATAGCCTTGACTATGGACTGTTCTATAGTCTCGCCTATATACTGTTCTAGAGTCTCGCCTATATACTGTTCTATATTCTCAACTATATACTGTTATAGTCTCGACTATAGACTGTTCTATAGTCTCGACTATAGTCTGTTCTATAGTCTCGACTATAGACTGTTCTATAGTCTCGACTATAGATTGTTCTATAGTCTCGACTATAGACTGTTCTATAGTCTCGACTATAGACTGTTCTATAGTCTCGACTACAGACTTTCTAAGTCTCGACTATAGACTGTTCTATAGTTTCGACTATAGACTGTTCTATAGTTTCGACTATAGACTCTTCTATAGTTTCGACTATAGACTATTCTATAGTTTCGACTATGGACTCTTCTATAGTTCTATAGTCTTAACTGTTCTATAGTGTCGACGGTAGACAGTTCTACAGTATTGACTACAGACGAGTCCGTAGCCTCGACTATAGACAGTTCTATAGTTCTATAGTCTCAACTATATACTGTTCTATAGTCTCGACTATATACTGTTCTATAGTCTCGACTATAGACTGTTCTATAGTCTGTTCTATAGTCTCGACTATAGACTGTTCTATAGTCTCGACTATAGATTGTTCTATAGTCTCGACTATAGACTGTTCTATAGTCTCGACTATAGACTGTTCTATAGTCTCGACTATGGACTCTTCTATAGTTCTATAGTCTTAACTGTTCTATAGTGTCGACGGTAGACAGTTCTACAGTATTGACTACAGACGAGTCCGTAGCCTCGACTATAGACAGTTCTATAGTTCTATAGTCTCAACTATATACTGTTCTATAGTCTCGACTATATACTGTTCTATAGTCTCGACTATAGACTGTTCTATAGTCTCGACTATAGTCTGTTCTATAGTCTCGACTATAGACTGTTCTATAGTCTCGACTATAGATTGTTCTATAGTCTCGACTATAGACTGTTCTATAGTCTCGACTATAGACTGTTCTATAGTCTCGACTATAGATTGTTCTATAGTCTCGGCTACAGACTTTCTAAGTCTCGACTATAGACTGTTCTATAGTTTCGACTATAGACTCTTCTATAGTTTCGACTATAGACTCTTCTATAGTTTCGACTATGGACTCTTCTATAGTTCTATAGTCTTAACTGTTCTATAGTATCGACGGTAGACAGTTCTACAGTATTGACTACAGACGAGTCCGTAGCCTCGACTATAGACAGTTCAATAATCATGACGATAAGCTGTTCTATAGACATGACCATAGACTGTTCTACAATCCTGGATATAGACTGCTTTATAGTCACGACTATACACTATTCTCGGCTATAGACTGTTCTATAGTCTAGACTATGCACTGTTCTATAGTTTCGACTGTCTACTTTTCTACTACACATTGTTCGATAAAAGTGCAAAATATTATATTAGTAAACTTACTCTTGTTAATAGAACAGGTCTATCGTAATAGTACCGCGCAGCAGTTAAAATTTGTTGTTCATTTGCATCGCCGGCAATCTACGAAAAAAAATAATAAATATCAAATACATTAGCAAAATTATATAATAAAGTCTGAAGAACTTTTTGCTCATGAGTCATGACATTACAAAGCATAATAGTACTACACCGTCCCCATCCCCACTTTCTTTCTTACATTTTCCTATAGAACTTATTGAAAAGGTTCATACGTGTTTCATAAAGAGACTCTAAACTGGCTATCATGTGCACTCCGCACGGACATATACTCTTGTCATTATCAATCCGTTTATGGAAACTAAATTCTCTGAGTTAATCAAATTTGTATCCGCTGCAGCAGTTGTCAATCCTTAGACTCTGTTCCTAATTTTGGAATCTGCGATAACTACTGTCATACATATGAAGAGCGATCTTTTTACACTAATACATCCAAAACAAGTGGTAAAATTAAAGTAGTAAAAAGTATTAAAATTCAAATATTAAAAATTAAACGAGATGAAAATCAAATGCCATAGAAGATCTGACAGGAACAGTTATCTCTTATCGTTGTGATATACACTAGTCTTGAAATGAAATTGTAAAAGAATCAATTATACTCTTGTGGGTACAATTTCCGAATTATAGTTAAACATTTCTGAAATATAATATGATTTTTTGCCAGATTCAAACTCTGGTTTAATTTAACAGTTATTGTAATAATAAAATTTTTAAAATTGTAATTTGATAACATATATAAGACCTTCATATGAAAAACATAAAACAAAAGCCATCCATCCTCAAAAAATTCAGAATTTCTGACTTTCTTATTTACAGAATTCGTAAAAAAAAACTTACCTCTATAGCTGGTATATCATGACGTTTGCAAGCCCAATGTGCTGTATGATATAAACCTAAAAATTGTAACGGCCTTTGTGTCCGTGTCGCAAGGCCCGGTATATCTGTATTCACTTTATGACTGGACTCTTTCGTTGCCACACCATTACCAGCCAAATTAGTACCGGATATATCCAAATGTGTTAAATCTCGCAGATTATCCATTAACATTTCAAGCGATTGATCTGGCAAATCGTAGGTGCCATGACCATTGCCCGAACTCGATATCGAAATATCTAATGTACGAAGACGTCGTAAACAGCAAATGGCAGGTAATTGATTTACGATAGGCCAGACGTTAAAGAGTATTAGTGTATGAAGTTTAGGCAGGGTATCCAGGGCTTGAAGACTGAAATTCGCTAAAACACATGAAGTCAAATCCAAGTGTGTTAAATCTTCCAGATGTGCAAATTGCAAACGATGATGTAAAACAACACCGTTCAATACAAGACGACGTAGGTGTGGACAATTGAATTGAAAGTCAACAGGGTCTTTATCATTCGGCTCAGCGTTCTGTAGCATATGCGAGCCAATACCCAATTCCAACGAACGTAAACTTTCACCATAATGAGCGAGTAGTTCGTGAGATTGTACGGTAACGTTGTCGCAATACCACATCGAAAGTGAATATAATTTGTGGCGCATTAGTATTTCGAGTCCTGTAATCAAATAAAATAAGGTATTATTCAAATTTTGTTCTACATACACACAAACATTTATTAGAGCAATTGGTGGTCTGAAAGGTAATATTTCTGTATAGATATCATGTTATCCCGGTAAATTAATAATAATAATAATATGTGTGAATTTATATTAAAATAAATACATATGTATGTATGTCATAGAGAAAACCGTATTAATGTATTGAATTAAGATTAATCACACATAGCAATCACGTCAGGTCAACAGCATTTTATTGAATGAATATATACGGTTAAACGGCAACACACCTTGTAATATCAGTTTATCATCACTATGAGGAAAATTTAAATTGACCGCTTATCAATACATTTCTCGAATGAAATCAATAACGTAAGCGACAATTTTTCTAAATGTGTTACAAAAAAACCAACAACAACAGTAAGAATAAAATCACACAAATGCTATAGATAAGGTTTATTGTAATAAATCAATTAATTATATTACATTTTAATATTATTATAGCAATAGATTATACAGAAGGTGATAGAGAGAGATTGTTGTACTTACCATAATTTGTTAAATGACTATTACGCAAATGTACAACATTTAATGAAGTCCTGTTTGTATCTCTAAATAAACTGATAAATTTATCATCAAACTGTCGATAGAAGTGTTTTTGATACGTATCTATAAGACGATCGCAAATGTCATTTGGTAAGACGATGCCATCCCGTAAATGATAACGTTTTTCATCGTCATTATCGACATCATCAATGTCATGGTCATCGTCGATGTCTTCACATCTAACAACATCTAGATTTTTGCAGATATAACGATATACAATATCCTGGAGTGTTAATGGATCTTCATCCAAAATTCCATTCGACTTTAAACGAACTTTGCCGCTCATTTCAATGATTTTATTTGTTTTCGGTCCGAACGCCTGTAAATATAAATATAAAAAAAAAACAAAGTTATGTAAAGTTTGTTAAAACAAAATCACTTGTTATTGTTTACTATCTGTATCAGATTTGCGCTGTTAATCGCGTTCATTGTTGACATGTATTTATTAATTTTACCAGTTTTCTATTTGTATCTATTTCTAGAACGAATTTCTTAAAAATAATTAATTTTCTAAAAAGTTCTAAATTTCGTTAAAATTTTCACTTCATTTATGAATTAAACGTCTCTTTGTTGAAGGTTAACTATAGTTATCCACGTTTCTATGATTCTTTTCCAAAGTGCCTAAGATTGTAGGATACATTTAAAACAATGAAGTATCTTTTTAAATCATGTGTTATTTTAATTACAATAATCTATTTTAAAAAAAAATTCTTTCTGGTTTCTCATTTTTCAAGATTTTAACAAAATGTTTCGAAAATAACTTCGAATCATCTGTTGTCTACGCATAGTAAACATGTTTGAAAATTTGGATATTTACATGGATATTTAATGACTAATTAAGCAATGTCTTTCAAATGGTATGTTAATTTTAATACAGTTATCTGTAGAAAGAGTGAATAATGATATCTACATGACTAAGCTTTTACATTCTATTTATATTTTTAATACTAACGTTAATAGAAAGTTTTTCTAAAAGAGTACTTTTTAAATTTGGAACCGGAAATGGCTGTAAAGGGTTAGGTTAGACTAACAAGTGTTATGAATAAAAGAGAATCACTAGGATCTAGAGTTTCTAATTTCTCGGATATTTTCCATATCCGCGAATTGACTTTTCAAAATGTTCATTCCCGGAAATTCCCAGAAATTTTATAAAATTTTTTGATATATGATAACCTGCAACTTTTTAAAGACACAATGTATTTTTTTATAAGTTTCGTTCATTTCTGTAACATTTCTAATGTTTAAAAATTGCATATAATTTTTTTCTTTGCCAGAGCAGTAAATCCCGCCCTAAATGTAATTTGTATATCTGATAACATTATCTTCAAAATAATTCAGGTTTTCGTCTTGAAAGCATGACACATAATTCAGTTATAATTTACTATTAAGTAAAATCATCACCAGTAAAAAAATTTTATTAATGCAAGAGTTTCCTTAAATTATCTAATATTTTTATCACATTTGTGAATAGGTAGGTAGGTAGGTCGATAGGAGGATGTAAGAAATACACCTAGGCCACTATCGGGCCTGTTGTGCACTTCTTTTATTTTTTATTTATTTAATTTGTCTTATCATGAAAAAAAAAACGAAAGAATTATTTTTCAGTGTTCAGAAACTCAGTTTCCTGAACGTAATTCCTAAGAATCTTCCAATCAGTGTTAGTCAGGAATGTTATTTCCGGAATAACATCACTTCCTAGATACTTCGATCTAATTTCGACGAATACCTGGCAGTGGCAAAGAAAGTGCTCCAGAGTTTTACTGTCCTCTTCACATGCTCTACATTCATCTGAATCCGCACGTCCAATTTTTCGTAGTCCCGTGTGTCCACTCAGAATACGTACCATCATACTAACTTCAGACTTGCTCATTTTGAGGAGATTTTTCGTCTTGCTCTCATCAGGATCACCCCATAGGATCTTCGTGGTTCTACCCATTGTTTCATTATTCCAAGAGGCCTTATGGGATTCTCTCACCCATATTTTTAGTTCAGCTTTTGTTGCGTCGAATGGTTTTGCGTTTGTCAGGTTAACTGCCTCGAGCTCCCTTCCCTTTAAAGCTATTACATTCGCCCTTTCGTTACCGACTACTCCCGAGTGGGCTGGTACCCATATGATGTGAACCTTACCTCTGGGAGAGTATTCAGTTAAAGCTTTCTTACAATCCAATACGGTCTTAGATTTAGTTCTATCGCGTGATATCGCCCTAATTGCCTTCTGGCTGTAGGTAAATATATTAAGCGCTGTGGGCGCCATATTTATTATAATCCAATTTACGCATTCCGTTATTGCTCGTACTTCTGCCTGCAAGCTTGTGTTATGATTTGGTAAACGGTGGTATAATTCTGTTTCTGGGTCTTCAATATAGAAACCCAGCCCCACTTTGTCCCCCAATTTAGAGCCATCCATGTAACAACGGATTCCTAATGGTATTTGCTCTAATGTTCCGCTTGACCAAGACATTCTATCTGGGACCAGCGTTGCAAAGTTTCCGACATATTCTGTGTCTGGTATACGATCAGGCACGTCCGATGATTGTGTATAACCTTCCAATGTGTCCAGTATACATTGATAACGTGACCTATAACCGCTTTTGACCAGTTCGCCTAAAGTAAAGAGCCGTTCGGCTGTAAGCGCCGCCTCATATCCTAAATATGTTTCAATAGGTGGAATATCTAGCAACGTTTCCAGAGCCTTCGTTGAAGTAGTACACATGGCACCACTTATACCCAAGCAGCATGTACGCTGAACTCCCTGTAGCAGTTTGATATTGCACTTTTTGTCTAAAGCAGGTCACCAGATTTTTGAAGCATAAGATAGAATTGGTCTAATCACACTTTTATAAAGCCAATTTGTCATAGTAGGACTAAGACCCCATTTCATGCCTATAGCTTTCCTACATATCGCCCAGCACCGATGTGCCTTGTTGATCCTATCCTCTATGTGGTGTCTCCATTTTAATTTCCGGTCGAGGATTACACCTAAGTACTTAACTTTGTCTGTCACTGGTATCTTCTTGCCCAGGAAGCAAGGTTCAGTGTACGTAGAAATTTTTGTCTTTCTTGTGAAAAGACAGATTTCCGTTTTGCCGGGTTAACATTGATGCCTCTCGGTTGAGCCCAGCTCAAGGCCGTATTCAGAACCTTCTCAGCTCTTCTACACAAATAATTTGGATCCTTTCCATTTGTGAATAAATATTCAAAAGGAATTCCCGCATGCCCCGTTATAACCCCTGCCAGAGTCAATAAGTATCCTGGTTGGTTTCGCATTGGATATTCTATTTTTATTTTTTTTTTTTTATAATATCCATATCAGGATCGGGGTTATCGAAAGCCTTTACAAAATTATTAATAATAAATTGGTTCATCTAAAACAGATTACTACAATTTAATATCGATTATACAATTTGAGAAGTTTTTTCCAAATGTTAATTTTACATAACAATACGCATTTTTATGGATCTGCTTCTCCTTAAATTTTTTTTTTTCATTTAAAATATTTCGCGTAAAGTTAGCATTTCAAAAAGGATAAATTCTTCATATAAATAAAAAGAAAAAAGTATTTTTCTCAAAAAACTAGAAAAATGTGCCTTTTTTGAAATGCATATAACTTTATAATCAGTCATTATTTTTAAACAACTCTTTTTTATTCGATATTTCGTTAGCTTAGTACACAAACGTAACAAGTCCACTTTTTATAAAAATTGAGATTTTAATGCAGAATGGTAGTATAACTTGAAATACACATGATATAATCAAAAAATTACCTTTTTTATACTTTAAACATGTACTTTTGCTCCGGTATGCAAACGTGCTAAGTCCTCAAAACAATAAAAATATACAAAGAAAAAGTGTTAAGTCCTTACAATTTGCTATTATAAACGCATTAATTAGTCATGTAAAAAGAAATATCAATCATTTTGCACATCAACGTCTAGGAAATAGTGTGTAGTTTGTAAAATCTTCAATTAAGTAAGAAATCATGGAATACTTTTTTAAAATAAAGTAAAACAAGTAAATATTGACAATAAACTGATTTTCTTTAAGAGGGATGATATAGAGAATAGCGTAAGTTATGGACCGAATGTCATAGTAGTTAGCAAAGAAATTTTGATTCCTATAAAACTTGTTAACGTTGAATTGCATCGCTATACTGCTATTTTAAGCCAGTTGTGTGCTTTAAAGTCGTTGGGGTAGGGTCAAACATTGCCCTATCCTCATAAAATGTTGTATATAGTGTTTGGGTCCCATAAAACTTGTTTATGTCGGATTTCATCACTATTCTGGTATTTTAAAAACAGTTATAAGCGTTAGAGTAATTTGTTCAAGGTTACTTTATATGGGAGCTATGGTCAAATATGGACCGATACTCATTAAAATTAGTGTAGCAATTTAAGTTCATTAAAGTTTTCTCTATATAGAATTTCAAAGCTATACTGATAGGTTTAATGGATTTATGAGCGTTAAAAATACCTTTCTGAAGGGCATCTTATATGGGGGCAAGGATCAAATAAAGTCCGATGACCGCCATTCTTTACTATATAATTTTTCAATACAAAAAAATAACTTGCTCCAAATTTGATCACGATTACAAGCTTCTCAACATGTTTATTTCTCTTTAATCTCTTTTTCAAGCAGCCGCTTGTATGAGGGCTATAAGAAATAGTGGACCTACACTAACAAAATTTTATACACTTCGTCCGAAGGACACAGCAAAATATTTGTATCAAATTATATCAAATTATCTTCAAAATAGAACCTGTACGTAAGGAAAAAGTTATAAGAAAATGTGCTAAGTCCAGCAAAAAATAAAAATTCAGAAAAAGAAAACGTGCTAAGTCCTAAAAAATCCGCTGTAAATATTCAACAGCATTATTTTTAAATTGTTTTACTACCGATATTAAAAAGGAGATATCTAAGAAAAAAAACTACGTTTACAGATTTTAAAAATATAAAATACAAGAGAAGTTATGAAGTTTTTTGCTTCTCCTGTAAAATTTTCAAAAGAGGACTTGTTACGTTTGCGTACTAAGCTAACGATATACATTTTTTATTAGTCCGATAAGAAATGGAAAAAATCGGTAAAAGTTTGGGCAAGTTATTATCAAACAAGTATGTAGCCAATATTCTACTTTGCCGAACCTTATATACCTTTCACCATAGTATGTTTAAAAAATATAATTTTATAAAACTTCAATTTATTTAATTTTTCTCGACTCAAAAAAATACGCAAAGCAATGAAACCAATACATATCCAAACATACATACATATGTATGTATGCTTTTTTGTTAAAGCATGCAAAAAAATTTTATTTTTTGATGAAATTTTCCGAGGTTGTCTGAGATTTTTGCTCATCCGTCATTTGTGACGGATTTTGCTGATTTTAAATAGGAAACTTCTCGAAAGCATGTCTGACAGAATTATTGAAGATTTGTATCCCGAAGATATCTGGGGTCTTCAGCAAATTGATTTTCACAAAAAGACAGACATGGCTTAATCCACTCCGCTTTCTATAAGGATCCAGAATATATGTATATATGTACATATGTACTTTATAGGGTCGGAAAATTATATTGTGGAAATTACAAACAGAATGACAAGCTTATACATATGGGCAATTGATTTTCACAAAAAGGCGGACATGGCTTAATCCACTCCGCTTTCTATAAGGATCCAGAATATATATATATACATATGTACTTTATAGGGTCGGAAAATTATATTGTGGAAATTACAAACAGAATGACAAGCTTATACATATGGGCAATTTCGAGTCAAGTGACCCAACTTTTAAAATCGAAGTCTTCCGATTAGGCTGAAATTTCCACCAATGTTAGTACTATTGGATAGTAGGACAGGTCAGCTGTATCGGTCAAGAACTGCCGGACTTAAGTGGGTCAAACTTGGACATTTTGGTCATAGAGGGTTTTATTCAAATGAGTGTAACTTTTCACTTATTGGTCCTAGCAAAAATTATCTAAAGAAGTTCAGATAGCTATTTCTTCATTGTTTCCAAAAAAAAAAATTTATTTTTTTTTTCAAAATGGGCCATTTTTTGCTCAAAAGAAAGCTTATACGATTTCCTTTAAGGGCTTTATAGTCCCATAATGGGATGGACTAAGCTTCTTTTGAACAAAAGAAAATACAACAAAAAACGTCTATTTTGAGAAAATTAGGGTAAAATTAAGTTAAATTTTTTAAAAATTATTTTTTTTGGAAATAGAAGAAATGGCTATCTAAGTTCTTGACCAAATTCCTCAAAATCGATTTTTTGAGTTGGGTCTTTGACATGAAATTCCCCATATATTCTCACGAAGGGAATAAAAACGAAAGTATTGTGGTTAAAAATGCTGTAAATATCGGGACACGAAGGAAAAAATAGAATCCTTAAACTTAAACTCGAAAACACTTCCTCTTTGCTTATGTAAAATTTCGTTCAAATCGGACTAAAACTTTAGAATTTTTAGAAATAGGATCGTTAAACCTAACCTCTAAAGCTGACCATTTTTGCGAATGTAAAACTTCGTTTAAAGTTTTTAAAAATTACAGAATTATAAGGGGATCAGTTGAAGACTAATATGTCTCAATCCGCATTTTGGACGAAGTGGCCTTTAGTCTCATTTCCCTTCCTTGTTTCAATTGTTTATTATTTTATGGTAATGGTTCTTTGGATTTTAAATAATAATAAACATCAAACTTTGTTGACCCCTTAAATATTTACGTGCTCTATGTTTCTATATTTTGAAAAGCATTTCCTATTAAAATAATGCTAATAAACAACAAATAAAATCAATTGCAAATTAATGTGTTAAACAAATGTTTGTATTTTAATTTGTTTGTTTACATGCTTACGTATCTACTATTTTTTGTGTTTATGTGTGACAGAGAAGTTGTTACAATTTGCATTGTTAGTTACTTCAATGTTTATACCCTATAGGCTGGGTATTACAAGTTTCTTCAAAAGTATGTACACAAAAAATTGATCTCATTTTAATTTTACTTTATCAAGCTTTCATGGGAGTATTTTTCAATGAACCCTTATTGTTATCGGTATTGGAAAAATAGAGTTTAAAAATATTTTATAACAAATCATTGCGAAACGGTTTATATTAAAGCATCACTTTTTCAGTAGTTAAAGGTATCATATGGTCGGGACTACCCGACAATACTTTCTTAATTATTTTATTGTAACAACTTTTTAATTACAATAACAACAACGGCGGCGTCGATAGAAGCTGCTGCAACAATAACGGCAGCATATCAAACAACATACTGAAGGCAAGGCTAACAACAAAGAAAAAGTGCTATTGGGGAATAGAAAACAAACAAAACATATATAACAAATATATATATATATATATGTATATACATATACGATCGTGTTTTTAACAACCCCCTACAGTTGAAAGTGGTCAGCAATCCAGCCTGTCAGACGGACGGACATAGAGATACATAACCAAATGAACTTGCGACATTCATATAGAAAATAAAAGAACAAACATGCAATCGTATACATACGACGTCATACAATGTTTAGAAGATATATAGTATACTAGATTGTATCTTATAAGCGCATATTACCTATACGCTGCTGCAGCAACAAATTATGTGCAACTCTCACTTTTGTCCTTGCAACCGCAGTGGGCGTGCGGACGGTATGTAATAATGTGGTGATGATCTTTTCTTTTGCCTTTTCTTCTTGAGCTTTTTTCGGAACACTTATCACTTGGCACTATATGCAATTATACAATTATTATTTTGACTTTATTGTCACTCTAATTAAAATTCGTAAAGAAATCGAAATTTAGTTTTTTCTTTTATTTTGTTATGTCGTTTCTTCTGGAATTCTAACAAAAGTCACAGTATAATTTTTTTCTTTATTTATCCACTTCCCATTCACTTTTATTTATGTTTGTGATTCATTATGTTAAGTAGGTTTCGTTTATTCATTTTTGCTTTCGATTTTTATTTGTTTATAATTAATTAATTTGGAAATATTTTTTAGCTTTTTTCTGGTATTCTTTTTGCAAACAATTTTTTTTTCGAGGAAATAAGTGAAATTTCGTTGTTCAATTTTTTGTTTGACGTTTTGGTTGTCATTTACATATGGCTGGTTAACAGAGACCTCCGCCGACGAAAATTAACGGCGTTTGCAGTTAACATTAATTATTTCGGCGGCATATAAAAACCAACTGCAAGCCGACTAAATTTTTAAATATAAAAAAATTAAAACAAGAAAAATTGACACAAAATGTTATATATATTTTTTAATAAAGCATTTTCTTTGAATTTTGCCATATAATAAATTCTGAACAATAACTGATTTTCCGAAAAAATCTTTTTATGTTATCTAAGGCCGACAGTGGTAAAATTTAATGCAGAGATTCTTGTTTATATAAAAATAATGTATACCGAATTTTATTGTTATTAGTGATTTATGGATCTGAAGTGCCGAATAATCGACAATTTCAAAAATTTTAAGTCGTTTTTCCATAAATTTTAAAAAATCAACTTTTTTCAACTATAGAACCCTACTTGGAATATTAAACACCCCAACAATAGTATTAAAAGCACAAAGTTGATAACACTGCTCCAAAAAAAATATTTTAAATCTGTTTACAATCTTACAATCTTTACAATTTATTGTTTAAAATTGTTTGGGTAATTATGGTATCGAATTTTATTGCGGGTGCTATAATCGACGACTTGCTGGAACAGGAAGAGGACGAAATAGAAGCTAAAAGAAGGAAGAGGAAAAAAGAGAAAGTGGATACTACCAAAGGAACCCTATTCTAAGAACAAACTTTTGAAAACTTTAAAGGAAAATGGGACAATGGATTACAAAAATTATATACAGATGACCGACGAAATGTTTGATGACATTTTGTCAAAAGCTTTAATATACATACAAAAACAAGATACATTGATGAGAAAGGCTATACCTGCAAGAAATCGTTTAGCAATAACACTACGTTTCTTAGCAACAGGATGTTCATATGAAGACCTTAAACTTTCAATGGATGTATCTACACAGTCGATAGGAAAAATAGTCATTGAAACATGCGAGGCTATTATAAAAGTTTTAAAACCCTTTATGAAGGTATAAGTTACATTAAATCTGAATTGCCTTTTAAACTTAACCTTTTACTTTAAGTTACCTGAAACTCCTAACGAATGGATGGATGTTTCTGATCATTTTTATGAAAAATCAATGTTCCCCAATTGTTTAGGATTCCTTACCGGAAAGCACATAAATATTGTTAGGCCATTGCAATCCGGACATTCTTATTATAACTACAAAAAAAACGTTTAGTATTATCTTAATGGCTATAGTAAATAGCGACGATTTTTTGATGGTAGATGTATGTACAAATGGTAGAATAGCGGACGAAGATATATTTTCAAAAAGTAAATTTTTCGAAAAACTCGGAAATTTTCAACTAAATCTACCTGACCCGAAACCTGTGCTAAATGGACAAGAGCCATTGCCTTATATATTTGTTTCAGATGCAGAGTTTCCTTTGCACAAAAACGTTTTAAAAACTTTTGACCATTTGAATTTGACGGATGATGAGATCCTTTATAATAGAACACTGAACTCAATTCAAGTAAATGCCGAAAATGCTTTTGGAATTTTAGCTTCTCGCTTTGGTGTACTACGAACAACTATAAATTTAAGTCCTGAGAAATCATCTGTAGTTATTTTAGCATGCTGCTATTTACACAATTATTTGTGTCGTTCATCTAGAACTAAATTTGGAAAGAGTTGTGGCATTATCAGGAATGGAACCAACTATCAATGAAAATTCATCCAATGAAACACAAGAAATTAGGCTTAAGTTTTGTGAAGCAATAAAACAATTGAAGCAATTTAATTAAATTATGAACACTCTTACGTAAATCTCTTCACCAAAGATGAGTTTATTTTTTAAAACAAAAATTAAAATTTATTTGTTAATTATTTCTTAGCGTTCATGATTCATTCTTTGGAAAATGGATAGAGTCTTCATTGAAATTTACCGGTATCGAGGGGGTAGAACATGGTGTAGTATCTCTTGAAATTGAAGTGTGGAAATTAGCAGATTGATTGGTAATACATTGTACAGTGTCAAAATTCAATTTGTTGAATCGTCCCAATATTAAAATTTCTTCGATTGCTCGTTTGGCAAATAATTGTTGATTTGTATTCATTTGCTTATACATGTAAGCCCATCCATTTGCATAAGTATCAGCTTCGTCTTCGACTCTTGCAATTTTTGAAGATGACTCTAAATGATCGACCGCTTTCTTAAGTAATTCAATTCTTGTGTCGGCTGCTAATGATTTCTTGGATACCTGCTTCTTTTCCTAATTATAAAATAATAAAATGTTAACAATAGGGTAATAGCTTTTATAAAATTTTTTAAAATATCAAATCGGCCTTATCTATTCCACATAGTTTTTTGTCTCAAAGTATAATTAATCAGCTCTATTCTGCATTTCGATTACGTTTCCGCATTTAGTTACCATACGATCGAAAACTGCTATTCCAAAAAAAAAAAAAACCAAAATCGTATGAAAATAAGAAAGCAATTTCATTTAATTCCAATGATTTACGATTGTGTTTTCTCCATTACGATCGTAACAACGATTTTATTTCCTGCAAAATGCAGAATACTAAACTTGCCAAACGGAAAAAAATTTGATTCGAATTGAAATGCAGAATAGAGGTGAATGAACAAACGAATACAAAATTGTATGACTTTCACTACATACCACTTTTATAATACCACTTTCTTCTTCATCTGAACTTAAATTCGTTCGACCTGGCATTTCCACATCTCGCAAAAAATCAAAATAGTCATAGTACCATAAATTTGATACATAAATGTCATCTGCTCCAGACTTTTTGCTTCTAAGGACTTTCCTTAATTCGCGGCGATAGCACGTACGCATATTGGCGATTTTCTTCTTTAATTCATCAAGTGTAGCATCTTTTTTCACTTTTTTATATTCAATTAATAGTTTATTATACCTCTTATTGCGAATGTTTTTATTTTTATAATTTTCATTTTTGCAGTTCCACAGTTCCGGCATAGTTTTGTATAATTCTATACAACTACGCAACTTGCTTGTATCTTCCATTTTTTATCCTTTTTATAAATAAATTGATTATTGATCTGCACAACACGTACATTCACGTTGCGACAAATTTGTACAACTTGCTAAAATACCAACAACCAATAAAGTAGCATCACTTGAACATCTATTTTTTTTAAACTAGATAAATGAAACATGATATTTGTTAAAATTTGTGAAAAGTTAATTATTTTAATTTTTTCCATACAAATTTTTTGAACGTTTGTCGTTTCATTTTATAAAATGAGACCGTCAATATTTTAAACATAAAAAGTAATTTCTTATTTATGTTGTCTTTACATTGTTGTTAAAAGAAATTTTATAAACAAAAAACATATGGTTTTGATCCAATCGACACCAGAGCTCTGCGCCGACAAATATTAACGGCGGCGGCGACTGACACTAAATATGTCGGCGGTGGCTTAAAATCGACTGTAAGCCGGCAAAGTTTTCAACTACGTTTAGTTTTTAAATTTTCAACGATTTTATACTATGTTTCCACTGGCTTGAACTCTGCTAGATTTGCGTAAACCTCTTCAAGGTGTTTTTACTGAGCTTACTCGTTTTTAATATTCGAATTTTCGAACAAATTCTGTCACTTTATTTTTTCATATCCACAATAAAGTTAATTTTATTTAAAATTACATATTAAAAATAAAAAATTACAGTTGTAAGCGAACAAATTTATTTATTAAATGCCACTAATTTTAAAATTATAATTTGTTATTATTTTCACTTCGAAATTAATTGTCACTTTTTGGATAAAAACATTCATTTTGAATGTATTGCCCAAAGAAGTATTTGCTTATCCTATACACATTGCAGTGTTCCATAAGCAAATCTTGTTCGAAAAAATACATTTTCGGCATGTTTTAAATCAAATCTAGTAGATTAACTAGATTTGGATGTGTCAAAAATGTATGGGAAATCTACATGATTTCAACTAGTTTTGCCCAAATCAACTAGATTTGCTCAAAACACCTCAGTGGAAACATAGCATTAAATAAAAACGGAATCCAAGAGATCAGAAAGTGGGATTTTGGAAGCAAATATATTGTTTATAACAACAAAACAGAGCAAGCTCAAAAGTGAGAAATTATGCAGGGATGAATAAAAAATTCTTAAAAATTAAAAACAAATCCTTTCTCCAAGTTTTACGAGGATCTGCCGATATTTAACCCATCATCCATATAAAACATCTTGCAGAAAATCAGTTTCTAAAAAATTTTGCATTAAGAAAATGATCTCCATCACCTGGATAACAATCTTGCCACGATGTGGCTTTAGTGTCGGCTGTGGTTCTTTTGCATTGCAAATACACTCGGTATAAGCCCTTTGTATTTGGAAGACACTGAACTTAAAAGCTTTCATGACCAAAGGTTATCCCACCTATCCTCATTTTCCAATTTTTCCTATAAAAAATCCCGTCTCCTCCTCTTCCCCATCCCCCACTTTTAAGGTTAAGGTGGTTGGTAGCAGAATCTGAATGGCTAATCAGTGGACCTAACAGTCGCAAAGGTAGAGCTACCGCACAACAGAAGCTTCATAATTGCCTCAAGCTATATGGCACATGAGAAGACAGCACCACCAGACGAAGTGAGCGATCTCCTGGCCGTAATTGAGACATCTGACGACATAATCCTAGGCTGTGATGCCAATGCAAGGCATACAATCTGGGGTAGCAGTGAAACTAATGAAAGGGGTGAGTCAATCTTTAATTTCATTAATACTAACAACCTAAACATATGTAACGCTTTCAACAAACCTACATTAATTTTTCCAAGTACGGATAATTACAATGGGTGGGAGGAAGTACTGGACATTACACTCATTAACGACAGATCTAAAATATCAGTTGACAGGTGGAGGGTATCCAATGAAAAAGTCTTTTTCAGACCACAATTGGATTCTCTTCGATATTATACTACAAAACTCGACGGAAAAAATGGTCTACAGGAACCCAAGAAGAACCGACTGGTTTAAGTATAAAGGGATCCTTAGATATAAGCTTAAGAAAATTCCCGTGGTTGATGATTCAATCGCCGGTCTTGAAACAATAGAGGAAAATTTTAGCAAAGTCTTAGGCAAAGCTTTCGAAATCTCCTGCCCGCCCAATCACAAAGGTAAAGAAAAGCTTCCCTCCATGGTGGAATTCGGAGCTATCCAGGTTACGTAAAGAAACACGTAGGGCCTTTAACACATGCTACAACAATAAATCGTGGCAGCCATACCGCGACAAACTAAAAGTCTATAGCACTCGCAAAAATAACATCATGGATAAGTTTCTGCGAATCTATAGATAACACAAAGGACTCTGCTAGACTCAGCAAAATTCTTGCCAAGGGCCAATCTAATCCAACCTATATTAAGAGGAAGGACGACACTTGGTCAGAAATTTCGGCAGAATCTTGACACCCTACTGAATACTCACTTCCTTGGCTGCAAAGATGCTGTCAAGGAAATCTTCATAGTTTTCCCCTTTCAAATCACCAGGACCTGATGGTATTTTGCCAAGGATGTTACAAAGTGCAAAAGAATATATCATCCCCTGGCTTCATAGAATATACACGCTCAGCCTCTCTCTCAACCATATTCCGGCAAATTGGAGAAAGGTTACGGTCGTTTTTATTCCCAAAGCTGGCAAAAGGAGTCATGAAAATGCGAAGGACTTTAGACTAATTAGTCTTTCATCTTTTCAACTCAAAACGCTGGAAAGACTCATCGACTCACATATTACTTAGGCAACGACTAGAAAGCTCATCACGGCTTTCAACCAGTCAACATGCCTACCTCAAAGGACGATCTACTGAGACAGCTCTACATGAGATTGTAAGAGTCATAGAAAGATCCCTCGAATTCAAACAATACACTATGGGAGGCTTCCTAGACATAGAAGGTGCTTTTAATAACGTAAATATTCTGCAATTCAACAAGCTCTTGCTTATGTGGTTGTTGAAGAGTATATCAGCAACTGGTTGGTAACTATGTTGAAATCCAGAATAATTACTGCAAGTCTTGGTAATAGCGTTAAGTTCAAATAAGTGGAACGAGGCACACCTCAAGGCGGCGTAATCTCCCCACTACTTTGGCTTATCGTTGTTAACTCGATTCTTAAGGAACTGGACAACAGAGGGATAAAGGTTGTTGCTTATGCGGACGACGTTGTGATACTGGTATCAGGAATGTTCCCAGACGTGATTAGCGACATTATGTCTGGAGCTCTGGTGCTACTCAGCAACTGGGCCACAGACAGTGGTTTAGGAGTAAATCCAAGCAAGACAGAACTGGTACTATTCACAACAAAGACCAAGATTCCAAGCTTCAACCTGCCACGGTTAAAAAACCGCGAAATCCCCTTATAAAGCAATGCCAAATATCTAGGAACTATTCTAGACTCCAAACTATCATGGAAACTCAACATCCAACACAGAGTCGAAAAGGCAACGGTCGCCTACTATACCTGTCGTAAGATATTTGGAATGAAATGGGGACTTAGTCCCAACATAGTCAAATGGATGTACACGGCTATAGTACGTCCTGTTCTTACATACGGATCTCTTGTTTGGTGGACTTCAACTAAGAAGAAGTTTGTTGTAGATGAGCTATACAAAGTTCAGAGATCATGCATTGGAATAACAGGTGCTATAAGAACTAGTACATCAGAAGCTCTGAACACTATATTGCACATCTTACCTATAGATCTGCATATAATGGCCATATCTGCTTGCAGCGCAGTAAGGCTTAACTCATCCGGAAGTTGGAGATCAAGAACATATGGACACGCTAGGATTTTAAGCTTGTTACCTCCGATCTTGAACCAACCATCCGACTATATTACCCCACACACGGACTTTGATAGAGTCTTCAAAGACAGAGTTCCTTCCAGGAGCGAGCGCTGCAGAGGCAATCTACCGAACGAATATACCACCAGAATCTTTACAGATGGTTCTAAAATGAACTGCGGTGTTGGTTCTGGTGTCTTCTGCGAAGAAGCTGGGGTAAGTCTATCCCACCGCCTTCCCAACAACTGTAGTGTCTTCCAGGCTGAAATATTAGCAATAATGTCAGCCTGTAGGGTATTACATGACCTCAATATTCGCGGGAACATAGGAATCTTTGTCGACAGTCAAGCGGCACTTATCTCACTAAACTCTTATACTACTACTTCCCTATTAGTTAAACAATGCAAGAAGGATCTATCAATGCTGGGTCGTCTGTCTGACATTACCCTTGTTTGGGTCCCTGCGCATAGGGACTACTACGGTAATGAACAGGCAGATGAGCTTGCCAGAATGGGATCTGCTCTTGATATCTCCGACGCCGTTTTAGTAGCAACTCCGTTAAGTTTTATCAAGAGCAATATCCTCAGATTCTTTCTTCAAAAAACAGAAATCAGGTGGAATAACCTAGACACATGCAAAGGGGCCAAGTTATTGTGGCCCTCCTTCAATGAGAAACGCACAAGACACCTTGTAAACCGAAGTAGGCTGGACATATCAAGGCTGATAGCAGTAATAACAGGACACTGGGTAGTAGGCAGACACGCAAGTCGGCTTGGTCTTCCTCACAATGATCATTGTCGCAGTTGCAAAGACAAGGAAAAGGAAGAAACGGTCTTCCATCTCCTCTGCGAATGCCCTGCTCTTGGCAATCACTTCATATCTAACCTTGGTGAGATATATGAGTTTAGGCTTAATGATATCACAGCTACGGGCTGGATCTAATACTAAAAAAATACAACATCTGACGAGTGGAGTGGTCCGGTCAAAACGGAGTCTCTTAGATTCTACTTGACAGTGAACTACCACGTAAACCAACCAACCAAGGAAATGATCAATGACGTAAAAACAAAGATATTTTATTTGTTTATTTACTAGCTATACCCAGTGTGCTGTGCTACCCTAAAAGCAATATAAATAAGAAACCTACTTAAAGATTTTGATGATTCTAACTACAATGGTTTTCCAATTATTGGTAAAAAAAAATGTGTGGTAAAAAGCTTTTATACACTTACACTTCTAAAGAAAATCTTACCAATACATATTTAGAGTTAGGTTTTTTTGACAGCTGAGTTAGGTTTTTTCCGGGAGAGTTGGCCTTCAACGGTAATATTCTATGTTTCTAGGTTTAATATTATAGAAACATCAAAAAGTTCCTTTTGAAGAACGATTCTCAAGTGCTTAATTACATGTTTCTAAGTTCTAAGTCAAAAAAGTACCAGTGTAAGTACGATAAAGTACCAATAAGTCCCATTTTATAGATTCTCATTTACTCCGGAGTCTACTTGCTTAAAAAGTACCTTTGTAGAACGAAAACGTTCCGAAAAGTCCCTTAATTATTAATTTTATGTTTCCCCGTGTCTA